TTCCTGAAACCATTCCAGAAACCATTCCTGAAACCACTGAAACCATTCCTGAAACCATTCCTGAAACCATTCCTGAAACCACTGACACCATTCCTGAAACCACTGAAACCACTCCAGAAACCACTGCAGGAAACCATTCCTGAAACCGTTCCAGAAACCACTGAAACCACTGAAACCATTCCAGAAACCATTCCTGAAACCACTGAAACCATTCCAGAAACCACCGAAACCACTGACACCATTCCAGAAACCACTGAAACCACTCCAGAAACCATTCCTGAAACCACTGCAGGAAACCATTCCTGAAACCATTCCAGAAACCACTGACACCACTGAAACCATTGAAACCATTCCAGAAACCACTGCAGGAAACCATTCCTGAAACCATTCCAGAAACCACTGAAACCATTCCTGAAACCACTGAAACCACTGAAACCATTCCAGAAACCACTGACACCACTCCATAAACCACTGCAGGAAACCATTCCTGAAACCCTTCCTGAAACCACTGAAACCATCCCAGAAACCACTGAAATAATTTGAATTTCTTGAAAGCACTGAAACCATTCCTGAAAGCACTGAAACCATTCCTGAAACCATTCCTGAAACCATTCCTGAAACCATTCCTGAAACCACTCCAGAAACCACTGAAACCACTGAAACCATCCCAGAAACCACTGAAACCACTCCTGAAACCACTGACACCATTCCAGAAACCACTGAAACCACTGAAACCATTCCTGAAACCACTGACACCATTCCAGAAACCACTGAAACCACTGAAACCATTCCTCCTCCTCACACCAGAGCTGCTCCCTCCTATCTCCACATTCCTGCTTTTTCTCACATGGAAAATGTTTGGCTTTTTTGTTTGTTTGTTTGTTTTTAAATTAGATATAGGAGTGATGTGAGGGAAAAACAAAGCACAGTCTAGATCAGAGGTAAACCTCCCATTTCATTGGTTTCATATGAATCAAAATTTAGAAAAAAAAAATCGGATTTTATTTTGGCAAAGAAGGAAAAACTGGCTCCCTGGAAGGAAATAGCAGCAATCAGGGGCCTGGTTTGTGAGAGCAGAGCTCCTTGGTGGCTGTTGGAAGCATTCAGGGACTGCAGGCCTTGGGCCAAACCTCACCTGGTTTCATTCCTCACCTGATTTTTAGAGCTGGAATGATGGCTGTGAGACTTTGCCTTGTTTAATGTATTTAATGATTAAATTAATGTTCTCCAGGGTGCCAGCAGCCTGCTCATGCCTTTTGTGAGGTGCTGGGAAGCCAAATTTGGTTATTTTTGGAAGAACACAATGGGGATTTTATTACAGGAAGGTTTTTTTGGTGGAACTGACACCAAGGCTTTGCCCACTGAAGGTGATCTCAGCTGCAACACTTCCAGATCCTCAAATGTTGAGAAATGTTGGTGTTTCCAAGAAAATGTTGGGAATTTCCATTGGGTGCTGCACACAGACTCCTCCCTCAATAATTAATTCATAATTAATTCAACATTTATAAGGCTGATTTTTAATTAAATATTTTGCCTTCCTAATCTGAAATACATTAAATTTTGGCCTTTGACTTTAAGCAGCTGGATGCTCATTGGTCTCTTTTTCTGTGCCACCATCTCTGTGAAGTGCAGGGAAAATCTGAATTTCTATTGAGGTAGGTTGAAAAATTTTCTTTCCACGTAAAAATGTCATTTTGTGGGATTTAAAAACACCCAAAGAACCAGAATTTCTAAATGGTTTGTGAGATGATGATGAGCAGTGTTATAAAAAACCAAGTGGCTGTTAAAATAATAATAGTAATAATAATAATAATAATAATAATAATAATAATAATAATAATAATAATAATAATAATAAATATTACTATAAAAGTATTATTATTATTATTATTATTATTACTATTATTATTATTATTACTATTATTATTATTTTTAAAATGTGCTCCTCCAGATGCAGCCTTATATCCAGCTTTCTCACAGGTTCAATATTTAAATATTTCCTAAAAAATTCATTATTTTATTAAAAAAAACCCCAACAAATGAACAGATTTCTGCCCTAATTTCTGGGAAGAGGATGCCAGCCAGGGAGGAAGGTGACCAATTAAGACATTAAGCATTTTGCACCACATGGACACATCTGCATGGCAGCCAAATAATGCAGCCATCAGCTCATTTTCAGGGGGCTGTTGCCTACTTCAACTCAGCCCTCAGATCAAAGAGAAAATGTCTGCTTGCATTTTCTCATCAGAAAAGGGATGCTAATTTAGGTTCCTTAATGTGTGGTGATAAGAGACTTCTTCAATTAAATGAATTCTATAGGCCAGAAAAGCAAAAAAAAAAAGGAAAAAAAAAGGGGATACAAAGGGAGTCAGGCTGGAAAGGCAGAAATTCTCATTAAATCAAAGGTCCAATATTCATTACCTCCAGCATCTGGGGCTAAACACTGAACATGGAGCTCATCAAAGGGGGTTTAATGGGTTAAATTGAGAATATAATCTAATTAAAATATTAGATACGAGTAAATAGCTCTTTGATATTCATCTGAAGGTTTCATTAAAACAGGCACTTGAGGTTTGGATTAAGGGGGGATTATCACTTTTAAGCAGGAACAACAAGTTGAGGTGCCCTGAGCAGAAATGCTTCAAAGTGTTACAGTTTGGTTGAAAAATAAAAGTGGGCAAGAAGAGCATGGAAACATTTCCCAGCCTGGCAGTGCCCAAAGGAGAGGGGAAAGAGGCTGAGGAAGAGGAAGGTTCTTTTCAGAAGCTGGAATTGGATGCTCTAAGTGGCAAAAATGTCGTGGGAAACGTTTCCCATGCAGCCTGACCCGTGCTCCCATATTGGACAATGGTTCTTCCACCAAGGCTTCCCAAAATATTCTTAATGTTTCTCAATATTCCCAAAAATGTCCTCAAATTCCAGCTGTGAATCCAAGGGGCTGATTCAGCAGCTTCCTGCCCCTCAGGAGGGTTTGAAGCAAGGCTGGGTCCCTTCCCTGTGAGAAAGGGCAGAATTGGGGTTGCTTTGTCCAAAATTAAATTGGGAGCTCCCATTAAAAAGAGACCAAATAACTGGGATAAAGCAATTCCACACCATCACAAGGTGATTGGGTTTGTCTCAATATTCCCAAAATGTCCTGAAATTCCAGCTGTGAATCCAAGGGGCTGATTCAGCAGGTTCCTGCTCATCAGGAGGGTTTGAAGCAAGGCCAGGTCCCTCCTCCATGAGGAAGGGCAGAATCAGGATCACCTTCCCAAAATTAAATTGGGAGCTCCCCACTAAAAAGAGACCAAATAACTGGGATAAAGCAATTCCACATCATCACAAAATGGTTGGGGTTTGTCTCAATATTACTAAAAATGTTCTGAAATTCCAGCTGTGAGTCCAAGGGGCTGATCCTGCAGGTTCCTGCCCCTCAGGTGGGTTTGAACAAGGCCATGAGGAAGGGCAGAATTGGAATCACTTTTCCCCACATTAAATTGTGAGCCCCCATTAAAAAAAAAGACAAAATAAATGGGATAAAGCAATTCCACATCATCACAAGGTGGTTGGGGTTTGTTCAATATTCCCAAAATGTCCTGAAATTCCAGCTGTGAGTCCAATTCAGCAGTGGAGGGGAGGTTCCTGCCCCTCAGGAGGGTTTGAAGCAAGGCCAGGTCCCTTCTCCATGAGGAAGGGCAGAATTGGGGTTGCTTTGCCCTAAATTGGGAGCTCCCATTAAAAAGAGACCAAATAACTGGGATAGAGCAATTCCACACCATCACAAGGAGGTTGGGATTGCCTCAATATTACTAAAAATGTTCTGAAATTCCAGCTGTGAGTCCAAGGGGCTGATTCAGCAGGTTCCTGCCCCTCAGGAGGGTTTGAAGCAAGGCCAGGTCCCTTTCTCCATGAGGAAGGGCAGAATCAGGATCACCTTCCCAAAATTAAATTGGGAGCTCCCATTAAAAAGAGACCAAACTGGGATAAAGCAATTCCACACCATCACAAAGTGGTTGGGTTTGTCTCAATATTCCCCAAAATGTCCTGAAATTTCAGCTGTGAGTCCAAGGGGCTGATCCAGCAGCTTCCTGCCCCTCAGGAGGGGACTTTTCCTCATATTAAATTGGGAGCCTCCCATAAAACAGACACTGAATAACTGGGATAAAGCAATTCCACACCATCACAAAATGGTTGGGATTGCCTCAATATTCCCCAAAATGTCCTGAAATTCCAGCTGTGAGTCCAAGGGGCTGATCCTGCAGGTTCCTGCCCCTCAGGAGGGTTTGAAGCAAGGCCATGAGGAAGGGCAGAATTGGAATCACTTTTCCCCACATTAAATTGTGAGCCCCCATTAAAAAAAAGACAAAATAAATGGGATAAAGCAATTCCACATCATCACAAGGTGGTTGGGTTTTTTATTCCTTTCTCCAGCCTCTTTTCAGGAGGTTTTAGCCCAAATTCCCTGGCTGTGTGCTCTAATCACATTTCATATGGTGACTTAATTCATCATTTGCTAAGTTAAAGAAATGGAAGCACCCAAAGAAAGCCATCTGTTTGTTGTTATTTTTACAGCCTTAATCTGTTAAAAGCTGTTTCCTCTCAAACATGCAGCTCTCAATTATCTTCAGTTACCCAATATATTCTCCAACTGCTCCTGGCTAATCCCAGATTGTCTGCATGCTCAGCCAGGACTTGTTTGGAATTTTCTTGTCCCAAATGAAGCTTCAAAATTTTTATTTTTTTGTGGAAACTCTTCACTAAGAGATAACAGAGTAACAATTAAATAATTAGCACTGCATCATTACCAACTGATGTGTTTGGAGCATATTTTTGTTCTCTTTTTAGCAGCAATGGATTATTTTTGCTTTTATTTCTGGCCAAAAGTCTCTTCTGCATTTCAGAAAGAGAAATATTGCTGGTGTTAATATCATCAGATGAAACAAAAGTTTATTTTTAATGTTTTGTAGATATGTCTGTTTATATGTTTAAAAATGATCCAGCTGTGACAAGGCAAGAGATTATTGGTGTAAAAGATGCAATTTTCAGATCCTTTATTTCAAAGAAAAAGAACAGAGGAATAAATTTCTAACAAAACATTTTCTAATAAAAGAACTGAGCACTATATTTAAAATGCTAAAAATGCAAAAGGTCAATTTATTAACAAAACAGGCACAAGTTGAACAATTAAAACCAACTCTAACATTGAAAAATAATTAAACTTAAACCAGTTTAAATTTCAGCAGACCGGGAAATGAAAATGTGATGGTCCCAGCTGAAAATAAAAACAATTCAGGCATTTTTGCCTCGATCCCTGAGCTCCCCCAAGTACCTACAAGATGTGAAGGGCTTCAAAAGCAGCCACAGCTTCCTTCTCCTTCTCGTGCCTGCTCCACAGGGATTCCAGGGATGGGATTTTGGGTAACCTGGGTCCAGCTGGGGCCTGGGGCAGAGCCTCCTTCACCTCCTGCTCCCATTGCTTTGCTATGAACGTCTTTGGTCTTGGAATCTTCTTGGCATATTCCAGAGCCTAAAAACAGCAAAAACTGGGGGGACTGAGCAAGGGAAACCCCGGCTGAGATTTCTAAAAAAATATTTAGGTGGGTTGAGTGAGATATCTCTGAATTCCTGAGCTTGTTTCTGACAGAATTCAATCCCAGGTTCTTCAGTGGTGACTGCAACACAACCCAGGCCAAGATTTGCTTCCTGGCACCACTGGAAGCCACCTTAGACACTGAGGAAGTGTTTTTATTTGAAAAAAGAAAGAGCAACACGGATTTATTAAATTTATAAACATTTTTTTTCCAGTCTCATTAAGCTCTTGCTCTCAGGCAGGAAGTGTTGCAGGTTAACAGGACAAGCTCAGGTTCTCCTGGGTAATGCACTTAAATATCCAAATTAAAAAGCAAAATGATGCCTGGAACGTGGAACTGGAGAGGGAATGGAAAGAGTTTTACAGAAATGCTGGAGCTGGCAGAGCCCTGGTTTAACCTGGGTGGGTTTTGGTGCCTGTGTGTTGCAGGGATTTGGGAACACCTCACGTCTCCCGTGCGTAATCTCACGTTCCTGTTGAAGGCTCCTAAAAGAATCCAAACCCGTTTTGCCACCCAGCCAATAAAGTTGTGTCTCTTGGTGGTTTATTTTTGGGAATAAACTCAAGGAAAGGAGGAACTCTGATATGATTGGGGTCCCAGCTTTGTGCTGGGGCCTGCAGCGCTCCCTGTCCCCCTCAGGAGCACCCAGGGAAGGGCTCAGCCCTCACCTTCTGCCGGGCCACCGAGGACACCTGGGCCTTTGCAGGCAGCCTCTGAACCACAGTCAGATTCTTCATGTTATATTCCTTGATTTGCCTGGAATATTCCTTCTGCAGCTTCAGCTTTTCTTTCTGAGCAAAGCAGAAAAGGGGACTGGAATTCAGTGGCTGGGGGGGGACCCACCAGTGCAAGCCTTTTCCCACCAATATTCCATTTCCCACCAATATTCCATTTCCCACCACTATTCCATTTCCCACCAATATTCCTTTTCCCACCACTATTCCATTTCCCACCAATATTCCATTTCCCACCAATATTCCTTTTCCCACCACTATTCCATTTCCCACCAATATTCCATTTCCCACCAATATTCCTTTTCCCACCAATATTCCTTTTCCCACCAATATTCCTTTTCCCACCACTATTCCATTTCCAGCTCTGCTGCTGTCCAGCCTGCCTCTGCCATTGATCCCTCCTCAGCACACAACAGGAAGCCCTGATAAATGGCACAGCTTCTTTTAGTGGCTTTTCCCTTTTAAGAGCTTTTTCCCCTGGACTGAATGGAGGCTGGAGCTCAGCACAGAAATGTGACAGCTCCATCTTTATTCTGTCCTGAACAATCTGTCCTCGTTTCACCAGAATGCAGCCAGGTATTTTCTCATGTTTGTACAACTTTGATTTCCACTTGGAACATTTGGTGCATCTTTACACTGGGAATGACAACTCAGCCACTTGAGTGGGTAATTTCCTGATGTCCAATTAGCCCTGATTAATTCCTGTTTCTGGATTTTAAAAATGAGAGGGTAAAAATTATCCCCAGGACAGCTGTCTTTGCTTTTATTTGAGTTTTCCTGTAGGATCTCCAGCTAGCCAAGGATATAAAGTCCCAGATAATTGTAAATGATGATTTCTCTGCCACTCTCCCCTGCCTAAATCCACTTTTGGTTTACTCACTTTCTCCAAGGATATCTCTCTCAAGCAAGGATTTAAAGTCCCAGATAATCATAAATTATGGTTTCTCTGCCACTCTCCCCTGCCTAAATCCACTTTTGGTTTACTCACTTTCTCTTTGATTGTTTCATAGTCAGGTCCAAGGCCTCCAAGCTTCATACTCAGATTGAAGTAGAATTTGGAGCTCCCCAGCTGAAAACCAAACAGCAAACAGATTTTCCTTGATATGATTTCACAGAGGGAATAATTGAAGAAGGTTTTATAGTGGAAACATCAGGATTTTATTTGCAATCTCAGCTGCACCCCTGGCATTTTAAATAAGTGACCAACAGGACTGACTTAATGGGAAAAATGAAATGACACAGAATTTCCTTTGGATCCAGGTGGGAAATTGCCAATTATCCCAATCACAAAGTGATATTTTCTCAATCAAAAATGACCTTTTGTGAGCTTTATTGTGAAACAGCTCAAAGCCGCTCATTTGACTGTGGTTAGAATGAGACTCCAAAGAAATTTTTTTGTGAGAGAAGCAGATGAAATTACCTGACTTTGGTGGCAAAAATCAGGCAAATGATGTTAGTGAGAACAACCTTTCCTTGTTCTGAAAGCTGCACTGGAAAGCTGCCCACAGACACAAGAAAAATCCATGTTTGCTGCACAGCAAAGGCTTTACAAGGGCAGGAGTGGTGGGTGATGCCATCCAACACTTCAGGACATCACACGAGGACTCCAACGCCCCCATAATATTTTTATTCTCTTTTAAGACCACATTTTTAGAAGGGAATTACGTTTAAAAACTTGTGAGTGAAGCTCATTATGATCAGCTCTGTGATAACTTCAACCACACAGTAAGGCAGGAACACCAATTTCTCTATGCAAATAAAATGGGCATTTCTTCAAAATACAGTTCAAGTTAAACTCAGCTGCAGAGAAATTCATTTTATGCACTAAATTTGCTACTTGAGGTTTCTCTTTGTCAGCTATCCCTGCTCTCACGTGCCATAACTCACTAATTTTTAATTTGAGGTACAGTGAGGAGTTAATTTCTCTGTGTCCCACAGAGAAATTAAAAATAAATAAAATCAGGGGAGTTCCCCACTTGCTGCACTGAGTGTATTTGTTTATGAGGAAAAGCAGGATTTTGCTGGGAGCACAACCAGTCTGGCTCTCTGTGCATTCCTCACATGTGGAGCGTGAGAAAACTGCTGCAAGCACAGGACAAGAAACAAAAGAAAGAGAAGGAGCCCTGCCCTGCAGTCCCCACCATAATCCTAATTCTTCTTAGAGGCACTCAGGCAGCAATGCCCAAAGTGCATGGAGTCATTATTCCAGCTTAGTTTGTCTGCCCTGAGACCTGGAGCAAACTCCTCAAACGTTGAATTTGTCACGGGCAGCTTTCTGCTGTGCTAAGTGCTGACACCAGCACAAGTGGGCCTGCAGAGGAGACAGAAATCCAAATTTTAATAAGGACCATCAGGAGCTTTGGGATGAGGTTTGTGCTGTCAGCTTTGCAAATCCTGCAGATCTGGGCTTGGAATCCTTTGGAAAGCAGGAGATTTGAGCTGGGCAAGAAAGGAGCGTGAGCGGGGTAATGGATGGCTCAGATCTGAGGCTGCCTGCTGCTCCTGACAAACAGCCTGACCCTGGTGAATCAAAATCATTTTATCTGTGGGTAAAGGACAGGACAAACCCTGCTCTGTGTGTCCCTGCAGCTACACCAGACTGATCCCTCTGCTCCAAAATGATTTCACTGGACCAAATGAACAGAAATGATTCCAGTGAACCAAATGAACGAAAATGTTTTCACTGAACTCTCGGAACCAGGTGGATCCCTCTGCTCTAAAATGATTCCAGTGAACCAAATGAACTAAAATTATTCCAGTGAACCAAATGACAAAAAATGATTCCAGTGAACCAAATGAACGAAAATGATTTCACTGAACTCTCGGAACCAGACTGATCCCTTTGTTCCAAAATGATTCCAGTGAACCAAATGAACGAAAATGATTCCAGTGAACCAAATGAACGAAAATGATTTCACTGAACCAAATGAACAAAAATGATTCCAGTGAACTCTTGGAACCAGGTGGATCCCTATGCTCTAAAATGATTCCAGTGAACCAAATGAACTGAAATGATTCCAGTGAACCAAATGAACAAAAATGATTTCACTGAACCAAATGAACAAAAATGATTTCACTGAACTCTCGGAACCAGGTGGATCCCTCTGCTCTAAAATGATTCCAGTGAACCAAATGAACTAAAATTATTCCAGTGAACCAAATGAATGAAAATGATTTCACTGAACTCTCGGAACCAGACTGATCCCTTTGCTCTAAAATGATTCCAGTGAACCAAATGAACAAAAATGATTCCAGTGAACCAAATGAATTAAAATGATTTCACTGAACTCTCGGAACCAGGTGGATCCCTCTGCTCTAAAATGACTTCACTGAACCAAATGAACTGAAATTATTCCAGTGAACCAAATGAACTGAAATGATTCCAGTGAACTCTCAGAACCAGGTGGATCCCTCTGCTCTAAAATGATTTCAGTGTCTGTTTCTACCTTTGTTCCATGATTTTTAATGCTCTGCTGTGTGTCCACGTGCTCTTACAACATTTCTCAGTCCCTATTTGTATTTTTTTTGTTTTTAAACTTTGGATTATTAAGAAGAAATGTTAGAGGGGGAATAGAAATGTTAAACCACTCAACCCACATCTATTTTCTCACCTTCTTGCTGGCTTTGGGCTGGTTTTGTTTTTCCCTCTGCAGCAGAGACCCCTCTGAGCTGCTTCTTCTCATTTTCCTTGGATTTCCTTCAGCTTTTCCTGAGTCTCCCTGGGGCAGGGCAGGTGGGAACAAACCCCACAGCCACGTGCCAGCAAAATCATCTTCAAAATCAGAAATTCTTGGCTTTTCCTTCTTCTCTATGAGATGGGAGATTCTACAAGCAGGTGTTGGTGAGCTGTGAGCAAAACATGGAAAAGGCCTTAAAAAATGAGGGGGGAAGAGTAAAAATCTGAATTTACACACAGCAAACAACCTGAACATGGAATAAGGGAGCAGGGAGATGGGAAGGTGAGGATTTCACAATAAATGACTTGGCTTGCACCCAAGTTTATGGAAAATAAATGGAAAAAAAATGACAAATGGGGAAATTTCAGCCTGATGCAAAGGTGATTAAAGCAAATGAAAGCTTTTGGATCAGGCCTGCTGAGTACTGATAGAATTATTCATTTATGTGAAATAAAACCTTCATTTTTTTTTTTTTTAAGACAGGTGAAATTCTTCACAATTGAGGATTTTCCTGCTCTCCCCTTTAGGGACAGAACTGCCCCTGAATATCCATCCTGCAAAGCCAATTTTGCTACAAACTCTGAACTGTCCTTTTCCAATGCCAGATTTAAAAATCAATACCTATAATGAAACTTCAATTAGAAATAAATTATAATGGTAGGATTGTAGCAAAATAACTTTATACTTTGGAGTTTAAAGCATTTTTTTGTTTCTTCTCTGGGCATCACAGGGTGATGATAATATTATTTTATCACTTAAATCCTCACCACAAACTATTCTGATACCTGTGATCCTCATGAATGTGATTTTTGAAATCTGGAAGAGGTGCTTGATCCTTCACTCTTTCTTGAAAAATTGCATTAAAATCAGGTGAAATATTCTCCAATTCTGGATGTGCCTGGTCACTGCTGCTCTTTTTCCTGGAAAAATCCTGCCCAGGGACGGCATTGGCTGGGAATTGCTGTGGAATTCCAGCTGGAGAGTCCTGCTGGTATTTCTTGTCCTCCTGACTGGGACATTCAGGATCTAAAACCTCTGGTGGGTAAAAATTCTGAAATATTGGGAGAAAATAGGCAGGCGTGGTAAGGATTGAATTTGGGATATCATTTAACCCACTCTGGGGTTTTCCTGCTGGGCCAAGAGCAGAATTTGGGTTGGGGGCTGAGCTGGGCTCCTGCCCCAGGGCAGGGGGGGCAGCCTGGAACCCTGGGGTTTGCTGCTGCCTCTGCACCCGGGCATTCGCTGCTCCTGCTGCTCCTGGGGGCTCTGGGCCATCGCTCCTTGCCAAGGTTCTGCCCCTCAGAGGCTGCTTGGGCTCTGCTTTTTGTCTCTGCAAGGACCTGGGCTGCTCCTGAAACGAGTCACCAACAGCTGCGTTTGAGATATTCAGGTGCAAGTTCCATCCATCAACCCATCAGTCACCAAAACCCCTCTGAGCTGCTTGGACTGAGCCCTGCTCATGGTGGATTCAACCCAAAATTCAAATCACCAACAGCTGGGTTTGAGATATTCAGGTGCAAGTTCCATCCATCAACCCATCAGTCACCAAAATATCTCTGAGATGCTTGGATTGAGTCCTGCTCATGGTGGAATCAACCCAAAATTTGAGTCACCAACAGCTGCGTTTGAGATATTCAGGTAGAAGTTTCATCACTCACCAAAATATCTCTGAGCTGCTCAGATCTAACCCTGCTCATGGTGGATCCAACCCAAAATTCAATTCACCAACAGCTGGGTTTGAGATATTCAGGTGGAAGTTCCAAAAACTCACTCACCAAAATCCCTCACCAAAATCCCTCTGAGCTGCTTGGATTGAGTCCTGCTCATGGTGGAATCAACCCAAAATTCAAATTTAAAGGAACCCTCAGCCCAGAACAGAGCAGAGATGTTATTCAGGTGCTGCACAATGAATATTTCTGCATCAAAAATTTGCCCAAAGGCCTGAGACAAATTCTGCAGCACTGGACTGTAAAACCAGGTCCTTGCAGATGCAAACCAGGTCTCTTCCCCTCAGAGGCTGCTTGGGCTCTGCTTTTTGTCTCTGCAAGGACCTGGGCTGCTCCTGAAACGAGTCACCAACAGCTGGGTTTGAGATATTCAGGTGGAAGTTTCATCACTCACATCAAAACCCCTCTGTGCTGCTCAGATCCAACCCTGCTCATGGGGGATCCAACCCAAAATTCAATTCACCAGCAGCTGGGTTTGAGATATTCAGGTGCAAGTTCCAAAAACTCACTCACCAAAATCCCTCACCAAAATCCCTCACCAAAATCCCTCTGAGCTGCTTGGATCTAACCCTGCTCATGGGGGATTCAACCCAAAATTCAAATCACCAGCAGCTGGGTTTGAGATATTCAGGTAGAAGTTCCATCATTGACCAAAATCCCTCTGAGTTGCTTGGATTGAGTCCTGCTCATGGTGGATTCAACCCAAAATTCGAGTCACCAACAGCTGGGTTTGAGATATTCAGGTGGAAGTTTCATCACTCACATCAAAACCCCTCTGAGCTGCTGGGATCTAACCCTGCTCATGGGGGATTCAACCCAAAATTTGAGTCACCAGCATTGACCAAAATCCTTCTGAGCTGCTTGGATCTAACCCTGCTCATGGTGGAATCAACCCAAAATTCGAGTCACCAGCAGCTGGGTTTGAGATATTCAGGTGGAAGTTTCATCACTCACATCAAAATATCTCTGAGATGCTTGGATCTAACCCTGCTCATGGTGGATTCAACCCAAAAATTCAACTTATAAAATATTTTTATATACATTAAAACATTAATATATCATATATAATATTTATATGATTTAAATATAAATATATACTCTTTCTATATTAAATATTTTATAGATCCATTTCAATTTTTAAAATTTCAAATTCTAAAACGGTAAATTCTACTGAATTTTAATTATTAAATTCTCTCAAAAAGGAACCTTGAGCTGCTGTCCTTTTGGGTACCATTTCTCTTCAGGTTTCATTTTCCCAGGCTGGAATGCTGGGACACTCTGGAGTGGTTCTTCATCAGCTGGTGGAGGATCTGTGACCTAAAAACCAGGAATGTTCATGGCCACAGCAATCGGGGGAACAGATCTCAAAATCTTGGGGAAATAATGAGGAATAATCTGCGGCCTATTAAAATTAAAATGTTAAATTTTGGCACGGTGGAACGGATGACAAGGAAATGGTTAAAGGAAAAAAAAAAAAAAGAAGCCAAACCCAATTAAAGGGAGGGATGATTCCTTCTACTTTTAAGAGGAATAAAAGAAAGGAAAATTGTGCAGCACAGAAACTCTCAAACGTCTGAGCTGCTCCATTTCCATGGAGGAAATGCACCTAATAACAGAAAAGCAGCCAGAAACCAGCCCTGGCCAGGCAATCACACATCCCAGCCTCTGCAAGAGAGGCTCGCAGGAAAAGCTGGAAAAACACAATAATGGGGCTGAAAAGCACAGGGGGAGCTGCAGGGATAAAGTCTGGAGTGCACAGAGCTGGCAAAAGAAGCTCACAAACAAGGACAGCTCCAATAACCACGGCTGCAAATTTATTTGGAGCAAGTTTTTTCTGAATTTGTGCGGTTATCACTGCACAAAGATGAGTGATCCCCTTGTAAATATAGCAATAATTGAGTTTTTTTCCTTGAAATAAACTTTTTTAATCTATAAAACTGCAGGAAATCCAATTTTTAGTCTCTGTTTTTTTGTCCCAAACCATCCTGCTGAGTATTTTAGTGGAAGTGTGACTGTGACAGGAATCTCTGCTTCACCCCAGAGTGATCCCACAGGAGAAGGGGCAGTGGGAAGATATTTATGACCAAAAGATAAAAGATATTTATGAATTATCAACTGAAAATGATTTTTCACTTCTAATTTGGATGATGGTAAAAATAATGAGTGTGGATGGATGCTAATTAGAGCTATGTGGATATGATTATGTTTGCTATTCAGGGAATTCTGGAAATCTTTCCTGGCTAAGTGTTGGAGCCAGGGATCAGGACTTCATTGTGCAGACACGGTTTAAAAATATGGAATAGGCAAAGGAATGAGTTTTTTCATGTGGAGAAAAAAAAAATATGGGAAGCTGAGCCTCTCACTTTGAGGGTAAGAGATTAGGGCAGAAAGAAAAGGTGGGCAGGGTTTATTGCTGATTTTATGGGTGATCTCATGGCTCCAAATTCAACGTAAATCCCTGGAAAAATTCACAAGAAAATTAAAAAATACCACGGAGGTTTTCCTGAGCTGTGGACAGCCAGAGCTTTGCAGTGAATAAGGTGTTTTTGGTGGAACCAACTGACTCGGTGCATTGATGGAGTGCTGGGCAGGTAAAACACACAAACATACTTCTACATTATCTCTTTGAAAGAGGAACAGGACACAACCTCTGCCAGCATTTTTTTCTTTTTTTTTTTTCTTCTTTTTTTCCCCCTTTTTTTTTTTTTTTTTTGTGAACCATTCTATTAATACCAATCAAATTGAGAAAATGATCAAATGAAATTGCATTTTGAGAATCATAAGCTGTGTAATGCCTATTCTGTTAAATTGAGGCCCATAATTGCTTCTCCACTGAAAAGATACAACAAAGGCAGCAATCATGGCATGTCATTATCCCAGACTGGCAAACCAGCCTTTGCAGGGAGGACTTCAAAGCCTTGTGGTTCTCGAATTGCATTTGGCTGCTATTGTTGAAGCACAGGCAATCTTGATTAGGTGTTTACACCGAGGGAAGGCTCAGTGCACAGAGAGTCTGAGTGCCTTGCTCTAGAGCCATTAAAAAATTGTACATTATGTTCCTGGCTTTGAAGTGAGGGGCTTGGAGGTAGGAAAGCAACTCGGATTGAGCGCAGCTGAGCTGCACTGGGCACTGCTTCTCCTCCTGCCTCGCTCCCTTTCTCTCAGAGAAACTCATCATGGGGTTCTGTAGGGATCAGGCAATGCTGCAAAGAACTTGATGCACTAGAAAATGGTGCATGAATTAGGAAATGTACAGATCAGCAGGGGTTGGGGTGTGTTTTGGGAAATCTGTAAATGTAAATCTTGCACAATGAGGTTGGAAGTGTTTTAACTCAGCTGTGCACAAAGTCCTGCCCTCAGAGCAAACACCATTTCATTGCCACAGCCCAGCAGTGAGCAGATCAATACATTCAGCTTTAACTCCCTGCAAAGCCCAGAATAATCAGTTTAGGAAGCTCAGTTGCATTGCTGACATGTGGCTCATCTGTTCCTTGGTGGTTTTGCACTTTTGGATGGAGCTTTCCAGGTGGGGTGACCAAAGTTGGCTCCTGCACCACCACCATGTCCCCTCAGGGCCTTTTTCTAGAGCCATTAAAAATTTGTACGTTGTGTTCCTGGCTTGGAGGTAGGAAAGCAACTCGGATTGAGCGCAGCTGAGCTGCACTGGGCACTGCTTCTCCTCCTGCCTCGCTCGCTCTCTCTATCAGAGAAACTCATCATGGGGTTCTGTAGGGATCAGGCAATGCTGCAAAGAACTTGATGCACTAGAAATGAATTAGGAAATGTACAGATCAGCAGGGGTTTGGGAAATCTGTAAATGTAAATCTTGCACGACGAGGCTGGGAGTGTTTTAACTCAGCTGTGCACCAAGTCCTGCCCTCAGAGCAAACACCATTTCATTGCCACAGCCCAGCAGTGAGCAGATTGATAAATTCAGCTTCAACTCCCTGCAAAGCCCAGAATAATCAGTTTAGGAAGCTCAGTTGCATTGCTGACATGTGGCTCATCTGTTCCTTCACATCCTTGGTGGTTTTGCACTTTTGGATGGAGCTTTCCAGGTGGGGTGACCAAAGCTGGCTCCTGCACCACCACCATGTCCCCTCAGGGCCTTTTTCTAGAGCCATTAAAAAATTGTACGTTTTGTTCCTGGCTTGGAGGTAGGAAAGCAACTCGGATTGAGCGCAGCTGAGCTGCACTGGGCACTGCTTCTCCTCCTGCCTCGCTCCCTTTCTCTCAGAGAAACTCATCATGGGGTTCTGTAGGGATCAGGCAATGCTGCAAAGAACTTGATGCACTAGAAATGAATTAGGAAATGTACAGATCAGCACGGTTTGGGAAATCTGTAAATGTAAATCTTGCACAACGAGGCTGGGAGTGCTTTAACTCAGCTGTGCACAAAGTCCTGCCCTCAGAGCAAACACCATTTCATTGCCACAGCCCAGCAGTGAGCAGATCAATAAATTCAGCTTCAATCCTCTGCAAAGCCCAGAATAATCAGTTTAGGAAGCTCAGTTGCATTGCTGACATGTGGCTCATCTGTTCCTTCACATCCTTGGTGGTTTTGCACTTTTGGATGGAGCTTTCCAGGTGGGGTGACCAAAGCTGGCTCCTGCACCACCACCATGTCCCCTCAGGGCCTTTTTCTAGAGCCATTAAAAAATTGTACATTGTGTTCCTGGCTTGGAGGTAGGAAAGCAACTCGGATTGAGCCCAGCTGAGCTGCACTGGGCACTGCTTCTCCTCCTGCCTCGCTCTCTCTCTCTATCAGAGAAACTCATCATGGGGTTCTGTAGGGATCAGGCAATGCTGCAAAGAACCTGATGCAGTAGAAATGAATTAGGAAATGTACAGATCAGCACGGGTTTGGGAAATCTGTAAATGTAAATCTTGCACAACGAGGTTGGAAGTGTTTTAACTCAGCTGTGCACAAAGTCCTGCCCTCAGAGCAAACACCATTTCATTGCCACAACCCAGCAGTGAGCAGATCAATACATTCAGCTTTAACTCCCTGCAACGCCCAGAATAATCAGTTTAGGGAAGCACAGTTGCATTGCTGACATGTGGCTCATCTGCTTTTACAGATCCTTGGTGGTTTTGCACTTTTGGATGGAGCTTTCCAGGTGGGGTGACCAAAGTTGGCTCCTGCAGCACCACCATGTCCCCTCAGGGCCTTTTTCTAGAGCCATTAAAAATTTGTACGTTGTGTTCCTGGCTTGGAGGTAGGAAAGCAACTCGGATTGAGCCCAGCTGAGCTGCACTGGGCACTGCTTCTCCTCCTGCCTCGCTCCCTCTCTCTATCAGAGAAACTCATCATGGGGTTCTGTAGGGATCAGGCAATGCTGCAAAGAACTTGATGCACTAGAAATGAATTAGGAAATGTACAGATCAGCACGGGTTTGGGAAATCTGTAAATGTAAATCTTGCACAACGAGGCTGGAAGTGTTTTAACTCAGCTGTGCACCAAGTCCTGCCCTCAGAGCAAGCACCATTTCATTGCCACAGCCCAGCAGTGAGCAGATCAATAAATTCAGCTTCAATCCTCTGCAAAGCCCAGAATAATCAGTTTAGGAAGCTCAGTTGCATTGCTGACATGTGGCTCATCTGTTCCTTCACATCCTTGGTGGTTTTGCACTTTTGGATGGAGCTTTCCAGGTGGGGTGACCAAAGCTGGCTCCTGCAGCACCACCATGTCCCCTCAGGGCCTTTTTCTAGAGCCATTAAAAATTTGTACATTGTGTTCCTGGCTCAGAGGTAGGAAAGCAACTCGGATTGAGCGCAGCTGAGCTGCACTGGGCACTGCTTCTCCTCCTGCCTCGCTCGCTCTCTATCAGAGAAACTCATCATGGGGTTCTGTAGGGATCAGGCAATGCTGCAAAGAACTTGATGCAGTAGAAATGAATTAGGAAATGTACAGATCAGCACGGGTTTGGGGTGTGTTTTGGGAAATCTGTAAATGTAAATCTTGCACAACGAGGCTGGGAGTGCTTTAACTCAGCTGTGCACAAAGTCCTGCCCTCAGAGCAAGCACCATTTCATTGCCACAGCCCAGCAGTGAGCAGATCAATACATTCAGCTTTAACTCCCTGCAAAGCCCAGAATAATCAGTTTAGGAAGCTCAGTTGGATTGCTGACATGTGGCTCATCTGTTCCTTGGTGGTTTTGCACTTTTGGATGGAGCTTTCCAGGTGGGGTGACCAAAGCTGGCCCCTGCACCACCACCATGTCCCCTCAGGGCCTTTTTCACCCCTTCCAACAGGACTGAGCCATGGTTATCTGCTTAGGAATCAGTAAATGAACTGTTAATGAACAATAAATTAATCAGGAACTTCTGCCTGTCCCGCAGCAGCTCCAGGGGTGGCTGCCAGCGGTGGTGACGCCGCTCATGGAACCACAGGGTTATGGAATGCTGGGGTGGGAAGGGATCTCCCTCAAAGGCCACCCTGTCCCACCCCTGCCATGGGCAGGGACACCCTCCACCAGCCCAGGCTGCTCCCAGCCCTGTCCTGGAACACTTCCAGGGTTGGGAATTCCACAATTTCCCTGTAACTTCTCAAGGCCATGAAGAAACTTTCCTGCACCCCCTCTGCCTGCTGTGTCACCTCTCTGCTGTCCCCAAGGCCGCTCCAGCGAGATAATCTTATCTCATAACCCTGATTTTAACTGATTCCTTTGCCTGTTCCATAGTTTTAAACAGTGTCTGCACAATGAAGTCCTGATCCCAGGCTCCAACACTTAGCCAGGAAAGATTTCCAGAATTCCCTGAATAGCAAACATAATCATATCAACACCACTCTAATTAGCATCCATCCACACTCATTATTTTTACCATCATCCAAATTAGAAGTGAAAAAACACAAGTGCTCTTAATAGCTCTACAAAAGAAAAAAAACAACCCTGTCCATCATTGCTGCCACTGGAATGAAGTCAGAAAATCCCCTCTGATTTGTGTCAACTCTTCATTAGCCCTGGCAGAGCTGTCACTGGGAGCACAAGGGCCCTGGAGCTCCCCAAGGTAAGAATTTTCTGTGTGGAGCAATTCAGTGACCCCCCCTTCCCATGATGCATAATAAGCAGCAAGGAAAAGCAATGAACTCGTTTCTAATGGTTCATTAGGAACTGTAATTACATTTCCTCTCAAACCTTGCCACAAGTTGGCTGAGACTGTGCAAAGTCAGAACTTGCAGAATCTGCATGGTCACCACTTCCTGACTGTGTAAAATCAGAACTTCTTGTCACTAATAATTACTTTAAAAGCCACAAGATGACAGCTTCAAACATCCAAATTCAGGGCTTTTATAAATGTATTTATATATAATATTTAGAAATTTATATAAATGTATAAATTCTAAATTTATAAAATTTAAAATTCTAAATTCAATTATTAAATCCTCTAAAAAAGGAAGTCAGAACTTCCAGAATATGTAAAGTCAGAACTTCTTGTCAGTAATAATTACTTTAAAAGTCACAAGATGCCAGCTTTAAACATCCAAATTCAGTGCTTTTGTGGATATATTTCATCTCAAAAATTCTGAATGTATAAAATTTATAATTCTAAAATTCTAAATTAAATTATTAAATTCTCTAAAAAAGGAAGTCAGAACTTCCAGACTGTGCAAAGTCAGAACTTCCAGACTGTGTAAACTCAGAATTTGTCAGTAATAATTACTTTAAAAGTCACAAGATGACAGCTTTAAACATCCAAATTCAGTGCTTTTATGGATACATTTCATCTGAAAAACTCTAGATGTATAAATTCTAAATTTATAAAATTTAAAATTCTAAAACTTCCAGAATGGGCATAGTCAGAACTTCTTGTCGCTAATAATTACTTTAAAAGCCACAAGATGACAGCTTCAAACATCCAAATTCAGGGCTTTTATAAATGTATTTATATATAATATTTAGAAATTTATATAAATGTATAAATTCTAAATTTATAAAATTTATAATTCTAAAATTATAAATTAAAATATTAAATGCTTTAAAAAAGGAAGTCAGAACTTCCAGACTGTGCAAAGTCAGAACTTCCAGAATATGTAAAGTCAGAACTTCTTGTCACTAATAATTACTTTAAAAGTCACAAGATGCCAGCTTTAAACATCCAAATTCAGTACTTTTATGGATATATTTCATCTGAAAAAATCTAAATTTATAAAAATTCTAAATTTTAAAAATTCTAAATTAAATTATTAAATTCTCTAAAAAAGGAAGTCAGAACTTCCAGGCTGTGCATCAGCCAGAAGTTCCAGACTGTGTAAACTCAGAATTTGTCAGTAATAATTACTTTAAAAGCCACAAGATGCCAGCTTTAAACATCCAAATTCAGTGCTTTTATAGATATATTTAATCTGAAAAATTCTAAATGTATAAATTCTAAATTTATAAAATGAATCTGGAATAAGGCACAGCAGAGAGAATCACCATCAAAGTTATGTTGCTAATGCTAACATTAACATGGGAACGTTATCAATCTCATTATCAAACTCATTATCAAACTCATTATCAAACTCGTTATCAAACTCATTATCAAACTCATGTTGGCCAAGCAGAATAAACGAGAGGCAGCCACTGATAAGGGGCAGTGCAGAGCACAGAATTTCCTTAGAATCAAGATTAAAAATCAGTGTGAGATCTTCCCTGGCCAGGACCAGGCAGCTGGGACGTGGCCAGCCCTGGGCTTGGGAGCAGCTGGGGATCTGTGATTGTCCCACAAGGGCTGAACAAGATTTTAATCATTATAATTTTAATAATTTTAATAATTAATCATTTTAGAATTTTAAATTTTACACATTTAGAATTTATACATTTAGAATTTTTCAGATGAAATGTATCTATAAAAAGCCAGCCCTGGGCTTGGAATCAGCTGGGGATTTGTGTTATCCCACAAGGGCTGAACAAGATTTTAGTAATTATAATTTTAATAATTTTAATACATTTTAATACTTAATAATTTTAATGATTCATAATTTTAGAACTTTAAATTTTACACATTTAGAATTTATACATTTAGAATTTTTCAGATGAAATGTATCTATCAAAAGCCAGCCCTGGGCTTGGGAGCAGCTGGGGGTCCGTGATTATCCCACAAAGGCTGAACAAGATTTTAATAATTATAATTTTAATAATTTTAATAAATTTTAATACTTAATAATTGTAATGATTAATAATTTTAGAATTTTAAATTTTACACATTTAGAATTTATACATTTAGAAGTTTTCAGATTAAATATATCTATAAAAAGCCAGCCCTGGGCTTGGGAGCAGCTGGGGATTTGTGATTATCCCACAAGGGCTGAACAAGATTTTAATAATTATAATTTTAATAATTGTAATAATTAATCATTTTAGAATTTTAAATTTTACACATTTAGAATTTATACATTTAGAATTTTTCAGATGAAATATATCTATCAAAAGCCAGCCCTGGGCTTGGGAGCAGCTGGGGATTTGTGATTATCCCACAAAGGCTGAACAAGATTTTAATAATTATAATTTTAATAATTTTAATAAATTTTAATACTTAATAATTGTAATGATTAATAATTTTAGAATTTTAAATTTTACACATTTAGAATTTATACATTTAGAATTTTTCAGATGAAATGCATCCATAAAAAGCCAGCCCTGGGCTTGGGAGCAGCTGGGGATTTGTGATTATCCCACAAGGGCTGAGCAAGATTTTAATAATTATAATTTTAATAATTTTAATAATTAATCATTTTAGAATTTTAAATTTTACACATTTAGAATTTATACATTTAGAAGTTTTCAGATGAAATGTATCTATAAAAAGCCAGCCCCGGGCTTGGGAGCAGCTGGGGATTTGTGATTATCCCACAAGGGCTGAGCAAGATTTTAATAATTATAATTTTAATAATTGTAATGATTAATAATTTTAGAATTTTAAATTTTACACATTTAGAATTTATACATTTAGAAGTTTTCAGATGAAATGCATCTATCAAAAGCCAGCCCTGGGCTTGGGAGCAGCTGGGGATTTGTGATTATCCCACAAGGGCTGAAAAAGATTTTAATAATTATAATTTTAATATTTTTAATAAATTTTAATACTTAATAATTTTAATAATTAATAGTTTTAGAATTTTAAATTTTACACATTTAGAAGTTTTCAGATGAAATGCATCTATCAAAAGCCAGCCCCGGGCTTGGGAGCAGCTGGGGATTTGTGATTGTCCCACAAGGGCTGAACAAGATTTTAATCATTATAATTTTAATAATTTTAATAAATTTTAATACTTAATAATTGTAATGATTAATAATTTTAGAATTTTAAATTTTACACATTTAGAATTTATACATTTAGAAGTTTTCAGATTAAATATATCTATAAAAAGCCAGCCCCGGGCTTGGGAGCAGCTGGGGATTTGTGATTATCCCACAAGGGCTGAACAAGATTTTAATAATTATAATTTTAATAATTTTAATAATTAATAATTTTAGAATTTTAAATTTTACACATTTAGAATTTATACATTTAGAAGTTTTCAGATGAAATGCATCTATAAAAAGCCAGCCCTGGGCTTGGGAGCAGCTGGGGATTTGTGATTATCCCACAAAGGCTGAACAAGATTCTCCCTGGAAATCCAAAGCTGTCACTCCCTGGCATCATGGATTTCAAATCTGCTTCTCCCCTCTGCAAAGCTGAGAGTTCAACACCCTCAGACCTAATCCATAGAAATTAGGGAATTTATGCATTCACCCACCTGCCCTTGAAGAACTTGCTGCTTTTTATTGTGCAGCTCAAGATAGGAATTAATCCTCTCTGACTGTAAGCCCAAAGTCCGTTTATTTTTTTTCACAAAGTCCTTTTTTGCTCTTTGGGGTGGATCCTGTTGGTTCTGAGCAGGAAAAGCGTGGCCAGGATTATTTTTGGGATGGAATCCATCTGCAGGTTCCTCCCTTTTGGCTTGTGGCCCATCAGGTTTGCTGCTGGCCACATTTGCTCCATGGAAGCTGAATAATTCTGGCTCAAACTCTGGGAGTGAATCCTGGTTATCCTCTGAGGAGCCATCAGGATGGAGATAAAATGAATCCACTGAAAAGTCCCCACTGCTTCCTCCAAAAACTTGGGGTGACTCCTCTGCCTCAAAAAAATCTCCCTTTGTTGCATTCTTCCAATGAGGATTGTACCTCAGGCTGGAATATTTGTCCACAGGCAGTTTCTTCCTAATTAAAAAACCAAAAAGAAACAAAAATCAGATTATTTCTGCATAAATGGTACCAATTCTGTATTATTTCAGTGTCCTGCTGTGGCCAAATGAATTGTTTCAGTGGATTCAGTATGGAATCAGCATCAGAAGGGTTTTATCAAAGACTTTTTGGTAGGAAACTTAGGCAGGACTTCCTCTTCCTTTTTAATTTCCACCATCAGTGAATGATAAATGGGTCTAACACTCAGATCACAGTGGAGTACAATCATTATCCTAAATTTTGCACAGAAATTTTTAAATCCTCGTAGAATCAGCTGAAAGGTGAAATGATAAATTGCATTGTTCTGTTGTCTCCTTAAAAATGACACAAGTCTACAAAAGGCAATTTGTGTTGTTCCTTCTTCAAAGGCTCTGCTGAGTGAAATAAAAGTGAAATTCCTGGTAAAATCAGTTTTCAAGTGTCCTTTTGAGACTGTCCAAACAAGAACAGCCTCCAGCTCTGTGTTCTTATTTTCTCTCCTCATTCCTGTGCAACATCCTGATGCTTTGATTAAAAAACTCCTTCTAGAAAAGATTTTAAATCACTTTTTAGCAAAAAACAGGCAGTGATTAGAGTAGAAAAACATAAATGGAAACTCTGTCTGTTTGGCAATTTTTTAATAAGTGGCCAAATTATTGCCCTGAGTTACATTTGTCACAAAGCAAAGCCAGATGCTCTCTGCCTTAAAAAATCCCCAATTGATCCAATTTCTGCTTTAAGATCTGATCCAATGGGAGGAAAAGCAACTGCAGGAGTCAAATCCATCCAAAGAGGCTTCCAGGAGCTGTGCAGGTGGAAGGAATGGGGAGAAACAAAACTTTGAACACCATTTTTTCTTCCCTGGGCCTGCAGGGCAGCCCTGGGGATTCCACTGAAACTTGGTTGGTTCCTATTCAAGAAATCTGCTGGATTCCCCAACCTGTGGCCTTGTTAATGATATTATAAAATAATAAATAATCCTTTTTTAATGAGCTTCATGCCTCTGCCTATATTTCTATTTATTTTTACACCATTTTTTCTTCCCTAGACCTGCAGCGCAGCCCTGGGGATGCCACTGAAACCTGGTTGGTTCCTGTTCAAGAAATCTGCTGGATTCCTCAACCTGTGGGCTTATTAATGATATTAAAAAATAATAAATAATAAATAATCCTTTTTAAACGAGCTACATGCCTCTGCCTATATTTCTATTTATTTTTACACCATTTTTTCTTCCCTGGACCTGCAGTGCAGCCCTAGGGACATTTACAGCCACTGAAACCTGGTTGGTTCTTCAGCTCCTGTTACACAAATCTGCTGGATTCCCCAACCTAATGATATTAAAAAAAAATTAAATAATTTATTCATCCTTTCTCAATGAGCTACATGCCTCTGCCTATATTTCTATTTATTTTTACACCATTTTTTCTTCCCTGGACCTGCAGTGCAGTCCTGGGGACATTTACAGGCACTGGTTGATTCTTCAGCTCCTGTTACAGAAATCTGCTGGATTCCCCAACCTAATGATATTAAAAAAAAAAATTTAAATCATTTATTCATCCTTTCTCAACGAGCTTCATGCCTCTGCCTATATTTCTAATTATTTTTAACACAATTTTTTCTTCATTGGACCTGCAGTGCAGCCCTGGGGACATTTACAGGCACTGGTTGATTCTTCAGCTCCTGTTACAGAAATCTGCTGGATTCCCCAACCTGTGGCCTTGTTAATGATATTAAAAATAATAAATAATTTATTCATCCTTTCTCAACGAGCTTCATGCCTCTGCCTATATTTCTATTTATTTTTACACCATTTTTTCTTCCCTGGACCTGCAGTGCAGCCCTGGGGATGCCGCTGAAACCTGGTTGGTTCCTATTCAAGAAATCTGCTGGATTCCTTAATCTGTGGCCTTGTTAATGATATTAAAAAGATAATAATTAATTTATTCGTCCTTTCTCAACGAGCTACATGCCTCTGCCTATATTTCTAATTATTTTTACACAATTTTTTCTTCCCTGGACCTGCAGTACAGCCCTGGTTTCTGGGTGACTCTGCCTGGGGACATTTACAGCCACTGAAACCTGGTTGGTTCTTCAGCTCCTGTTACACAAATCTGCTGGATTCCCCAACCTAATGATATTAAAAAAAAAAATTAAATCATTTCTTCATCCTTTCTCAACAAGCTTCATGCCTCTGCCTATATTTCTATTTATTTTTACACCATTTTTTCTTCCCTGGACCTGCAGTGCAGCCCTGGGGATGCCGCTGAAACCTGGTTGGTTCCTGTTACACAAATCTGCTGGATTCTCCAACCTGTGGCCTTGTTAATGATATTAAAAATAATAAATAATTTATTCATCCTTTCTCAACGAGCTACATGCCTCTGCTTATATTTCTAATTATTTTTAACACAATTTTTTCTTCATTGGACCTGCAGTGCAGCCCTGGGGACATTTACAGGCACTGGTTGGTTCTTCAGCTCCTGTTACAGAAATCTGCTGGATTCCCCAACCTAATGATATTAAAAAAAAAAATTAAATCATTTATTCATCCTTTCTCAACGAGCTTCATGCCTCTGCCTATATTTCTATTTATTTTCACACCATTTTTTCTTCCCTGGACCTGCAGTGCAGCCCTGGGGACATTTACAGCCACTGAAACCTGGTTGGTTCTTCAGCTCCTGTTACACAAATCTGCTGGATTCCCCAACCTAATGATATTAAAAAAAAAATTAAATCATTTATTCATCCTTTCTCAACGAGCAACATGCCTCTGCCTATATTTCAAGTGGCTCCAAATAACAAAATAATCAGGTTTTCCTTGCTTTCCAGGTGAGCATGGCTGCCATGGTCTCTTGGAGCTGATTCCCACCTGGGACAGTATCATTATTGCCAGCTGGCCAAGGGGCTGCAGGTAAACAGCACAAGGTGAGGCTGCTCTGCAGAGTACAGAAATATTTGAGCTGATTGCAGTGATTGAAATGGCAGAGGATGAGGCTGAGGAGCCCCTTTGTGCTGAAATGTGTGCACAGAACCCAGCAGCGGGGCTCAGCCCGGGTCACTGCACGGGGAGAGGATGAGTGTGAAGAGCTCCTTCATCCCCAATCATCCCCAGACAAAAAGGGCACCTTTTATTGCTGCCCCCAGCTTCAGGGGGAGGTTGGATGGACTCAGTGCTCCTCAACAAAAGTGTGGGGAGCAGAGAGCAGCTGCAGCATTTCCTCTTCAGATTCCGAGGTTGGTAATGGATGTAGAGAGGGGGTTTCATATGGATGTGCTGTGATATTTGCTCTGCTTAATGGGCTGCACTGGAGTACTCACTGGGCTGAGTTCAAACAAAATAAAATCAAATTTCCATTTAATGAAGAGCCTCACATTCAGCACAGTATTCAGTCCAAAAAAATTACTAAAAATTAGAGCATGTTTCTAGTACAATTAACATCATTTGCACTCACAATAAAATATTCAATAACTGGCCATTTTGCTTGTTGAGGAGGTGAATAAAAGCATGCTATTAATCATTTAGCCTTCATTTGTTTGTCATTTTATTTTAAGTAGACTATTAAATTGAAACTGCACGTTGCTATTACTTGGGGTTTAATGTAATCCCTTTAAACTCAAGAATTATTCCCAATTATTTATCCAGGGTTAAACCTCCCATGCATATGACAGGATATTCAATTTTATTTTATGTACCCAGTTAATACTTTCTGAAGGATGTTTAAACATGGCCTTGAGGAGCATCAGGTTAAAAGTGTCAGAATTATTCCACTCCACTCGAGTTTTTGCCTTACCTTCCACTGCCACAAATCTTTGGTTTCCTTTCCTTCTTTGTGCTGTGTTCAGCTCCTTCCTCTTCAGAGCTCATCCCCTCCAAGCTGTCCCCATCCAGGCTGTCACCCTCCAGGATGTCACCAACCTCCTGCCCTACCAGCTCCTGAGTTTGCAGGTGCTGCCTCTGCTTCTCCAGGCTCTCGGAGCCAGAATCCTGGGAATCCTCAGCACTGGAGGCTGAGCTCCTCTCCCTGTCCCAGCTGGCAGCTTGGAAAACGGGGGGCACGAGGGTTTTTGGAGGGACGTGGATGTTGGTGGAGGGGTGGGTGTGTGGGGAGGAGACTGAAATGAATTTCATGGCTGAAGGGTTCATGCCCTGCTTTGCACCGATGGTTCACAGCAGCCCTGCATTTGGGGAACACAGAGAACAGTTTAGTAACACTTAAAAACTGCATTTCTTTTGGAGAACACATAAAACATTCTAATAGTATTTAAAAGCTGCATTTTGTTTGGAGAACACATAAAATGCATTTTAATAATACTTAAAAACTGCATTTCTTTTGGAGAACACAGAGAACATTTTAATAACACTTAAAAACTGCATTTCTTTTGGAGAACACATAAAATGCATTTTAATAATACTTAAAAACTGCATTTCTTTTGGAGAACACATAAAACATTCTAATATTTAAAAGCTGCATTTTGTTTGGAGAACACATAAAACATTCTAATATTTAAAAGTTGCATTTTGTTTGGAGAACACATAAAACATTCTAATATTATTTAAAAACTGCATTTTGTTTGGAGAACACATAAAACATTGTAATATTATTTAAAAACTGCATTTTGTTTGGAGAACACATAAAACATTGTAATATTATTTAAAAGCTGCACTTTGTTTGGAGAACACATAAAACATTCTAATATTTAAAAGTTGCATTTTGTTTGGAGAACACATAAAACATTCTAATATTATTTAAAAACTGCATTTCTTTTGGAGAACACATAAAACATTGTAATATTTAAAAACTGCATTTTGTTTGGAGAACACATAAAACATTGTAATATTATTTAAAAACTGCATTTTGTTTGGAGAACACAAAATGCATTTTAATAATACTTAAAAACTGCATTTCTTTTGGAGAACACATAAAAGATTCTAATAGTATTTAAAAACTGCATTTTGTTTGGAGAACACATAAAATGCATTTTAATAATACTTAAAAACTGCGTTTCTTTTGGAGAACACATAAAACATTGTAATATTTAAAAGCTGCATTTTGTTTGGAGAACACATAAAACATTCTAATAGTATTTAAAAGCTGCATTTTGTTTGGAGAACACATAAAATGCATTCTAATAATACTTAAAAACTGCATTTCTTTTGGAGAACACATAAAACATTCTAATATTTAAAAGCTGCATTTTGTTTGGAGAACACATAAAATGCATTCTAATAATATTTAAAAACTGCATTTTATTTGGAGAACACATAAAACATTCTATTACTATTTTAAAACTGTATTTTATTTGGAGAACACATAAAAAATTCTTATAATATTTAAAAGCTTCATTTTGTTTGGAGAACACATAAAACATTTTAATAATACTTAAAAGGTGCTACCATTGGCTTAGGCTCAGAATTTCACCTTCTATTGTTCAAACAATTCTCTACTCTCATCTGATTTTCCTTTCTTCCCACTGATTTTCCTTTAAGCAATAATGTCAAGATCTCAGAGAATTTACTGCTATGAAATCTCAACTATTGGTGGTAATAAATAATGCAAAACCAGCTTGTGCCAAAGAAACTTAAACTGAGGCAAAGCATCTGTTATATGTCAATTCTGAGAGTTAAAATGAATTTTGTTTATTCTCTTCATGCAACTTTAGACCCTCTGGCCATGTAAAATCAGCAGAAGGTGGGACAGGGAGCACAGGGAGAACTGGAGCTCTGTCTAAATTAGGATGAGAATTTCTTTACACTCAGCTGAAGTGCTCAGAAGTTGTTTGCACTTCCAGATATTCCCCAGGTGAGGTGGGAGGGAGGAAAAGGAGATTTCAGTGCTGAGACTTCAGTGCTGGGATTTCCGTGCTGGGATTTCAGTGCTGAGATTTCAGTGCTGGGATTTCTGTGCTGAGACTTCAGTGCTGAGATTTCCGTGCTGAGATTTCAGAGCTGAGACTTCAGTGATGAGATTTCAGAGCTGGGATTTCAGAGCTGAGATTTCAGAACTGAGACTTCAGTGATGAGATTTCAGTGCTGAGATTTCAGAGCTGAGATTTCAGTGCTGAGACTGCTGAGCTGTTCTGTGCTGAGATTTCCGTGCTGAGATTTCAGTGCTGAGACTTCAGTGCTGAGATTTCAGTGCTGAGATTTCAGAGCTGAGATTTCAGTGCTGAGATTTCCGTGCTGAGCTGTCTGTGCTGAGCTGTTCTGCTCTCAGATGTGCTCCAGTGCCAGCACACCTGGCACCAGCACGGTCAGAGGTGCGCAGGCAGTGTCACCTCAGCACCTGGGGATAAAGAATTTTGGATATTTTACCCTGAGCTCACCCTGCAGGCAGCTCTGACACCTGGACTGTCCCCTGTGTCCCCTGTGTCCCCTGCTCCCAGCAGTGACCAGGGCAGCCCTGGGATGGGCAGGGAATGGGGAATCCTGGCCTGGAGCAGGACCTCAGCACCAGAGGAAAGCCACTGTGTCCCCAGGGCCTCCCCTGTCCCCAGCTCCCTGTCCCTGCCTCCTCCCAGCCCCCGTCCCCTCTCCTGTGTCCCTTTTGCCATGTCCCTCACCCAGTCCTGTCCCCTGTCCCCAGTGTCCTCACCCACCCCTAACCCCACATTCCCTGGCCCCTCACCTGGTCCCCTGTGCCACTCCCTGTCCCTGATCTCCCGTCTTGGTCCCCCATCCCCATCTCCTCTCTCCTGTCCCCTGTCCCAGTTCCTTGTCCCCTGTCCCTGTCCCCTGTCCCTGTTCCCTCTCTCCATCCCTGTTCACTCTCCCATGTCCTCTGTCACAGCCCTTTTCATCCCACTCCCCTGGCCCTGGTCCCCTCTTCCCTGTCCCTTATCTGGTCGGTTGTCCCCGATCCTGCCTCCCTGTCCCCTCACCACTGTCCCCTCTCCCAGTCCCCCATCCCCTGGTGCCCTGTCCTGTGCCCCTGTCCCATGTCCGTGTCCTCCGTCCCCTCTCCTGTGTCCCATGTCCCTGTCCCATGTCCCTGTCCCATGTCCCTGTCCTTCGTCCCCTCCCATGTCCCTGTCCCTGTCACCCTCTCTGCTCCTGTGTCCCTCTCTCCTATTCTGTGTTCCCATCCCTGTCCCTGCTTTTCCCGTGTCCCTGTCCTATGTCCCTGCCCTGTGTCCGTGTCCCTCTCACCACTGTTCCCGTGTCCCTGTCCCGTGTCCCTGTCCCTCATCCTGCTGTTCCCGGCCCATTCCCGTGTCCCGTGTCCCTCTCACCGCCGTTTCTGTGTCCCTGCCCCGTGTCCCTGTCTTGTGTCCCTGTCCCGTGTCCCTCTCACCGCCGGTCCCGTGTCCCTGTCCCTGTTACCTTCTCCCATATCCCTGTCCCTGTCCCTCTCATTGCCATTCTCGTGTCCCCGTCCCGTGTCCCCGTCCCGTGTCCCTGTCCCTCTCACCGCCGTTCCTGTTTCCCGTGTCCCTGTCCCGTGTCCCTCTCACCGCCGTTCCCGTGTCCCTGTCCCGTGTCCGTGTCCCTGTCCCGTGTCCCTCTCACCGCCGTTCCCGTGTCCGTGTCCCGTGTTCCTGTCCCGTGTCCCTGTCCCGTGTCCCTGTCCCTGTCCCCGCCGTTCCGGGCCGGGCCCGGTTCGGGCCGTGCCGCGCTGTCCCCGTTGCCACGGCAACCCCGCGGACGCCGGCCGCACCCACCGGGGCGGGGGGAGCGCGGTTCCCCCTCTCCCGCGGGCGCTGTGGTAGCGCCCGGGAGCCGCCGCGCTCCACTGAAACGCGGAATTGTTATTTCCACTGAAACATGGAATTATTTCCATTGGAAAACGGAATTATTTCCATTGGAAAACGGAATTATTTCCACTGAAACGTGGAATTGTTATTTCCATTGGAAAACGGAATTATTTCCACTGAAACGTGGAATTGTTATTTCCATTGGAAAATGGAATTATTTCCACTGAAACATGGAATTATTTTCATTGAAACATGGAATTATTTCCATTGAAAAACGGAATTATTCCCATTGGAAACATGGAATTATTTCCACTGAAATATGGAATTGTTTCCATTGAAATATGGAATTGCTTCCATTGAAATATGACATTATTTCCATTGGAACGGAACACACAGGCCCTTTTATCTCACTGGGTATTCAAACCCCAGTTTCCACATTTTTTTCCTATTTCCAGTGAGAATGAACAGTCCTGAATGAGTTTTATTTCATGAGATTCACAGCGTCCCGTTCTGGGCTTCTCAGTGCAGGGGAGAATTCCCCACGTGGAGGCGGCAGAGCCTGAACAGCCCAGGGAGGTTTTGGTTCCCCCTGTGCTGGAGCCACCCCAGCCCCACCTGGCTGTGTCCCCGTGTCCCTGCTCCAGGTGACCCCGCCTGGCCAGGGCCGTTGGGCTGGGCCCCCTCCAGAGCTCCCTTCCCACCCCAAACGCTCTGGGATTCTGTGAGAAAAACGCATTTTTCATATTCTGCAAATGGCAAAAATCATTGTCATTCACATTTCAATGGAAATCACTATTCTGGGATTCTGCAAATGGCAAAAATCATTGTAATTCGCATTTAAATGTAAATCACTATTCTGGGATTCTGCAAATGACAAAAATCATTGTAATTCGCATTTAAATGAATAAATCAATATTCTGGGATTCTGCAAATGGCAAAAATCATCGTAATTCACATTTCAATCTAAATCAATATTCTGGGATTCTGCAAATGGCAAAAATCATTGTAATTCACATTTCAATGTAAATCGCTAATCTGTGATTCTGACAAAAATCGGTGTAATTCACATTTAAATATAAATCACCATTCTGTGATTCTGCAAATGGCAAAAATCATTGTAATTCACATTTAAATGAATTAATCACCATTCTGTGATTCCGCAAATGGCAGAAATCGTTGTAATTTAAATAAAGAAATCCCTATTCTGTGATTCTGCAAATGGCAGAAATCGTTGTAATTTAAATAAAGAAATCCCTATTCTGTGATTCTGCAAATGGCAAAAATCATTGTAATTTAAATAAAGAAATCCCTATTCTGTGATTCTGCAAATGGCAGAAATCGTTGTAATTTAAATAAAGAAATCCCTATTCTGTGATTCTGCAAATGGCAAAAATCATTGCAATTCACATTAACTAAATAAATCACTATTCTGTGATTGTGCAAATGACAAAAAATATTTGTAATTCACATTTTCTTTATTTTAGGGGTTGGCTTTTACCCTCCTGGAGCAGGAAGGGCTCCTGTAAAGCCCTGGAGGAGTCCCAGCTCTTCTGCTGCCCCATTTGGGCAGTCCCATGGGGAACATCCCCTTCACAGAACCATCAAACCATTTGGCTTAGATTTCTGTTATTTTTTATTTTTAACCCTTTGACCATCAGGCTGCTTCCCAGCTTGGTTACACCCAGCTGCAAGTCCAGGTTTGGGGTCCCAGGGAGAAAAGTCACAGTGGGTTTGTAGCACTTGTGGTGACAGAGGAGGTGACAAAATCAACCATAAATATCCTATTTTATATATATTATTATTATTATCATTAATATCCTGATTTGGGCCTGGATGTCCTGCCAGGGTGCTGAGGGTGCTGAGCTGTTGGTGGCAGAGGTTCCTGATGTGCTCTGAAGGTCCCAGGTGACCCAGGCCAGGTTTTCTGAGGTGCTGAGCTGTTCAAGGCAGAGGTTCATGACAGGTTCTGAAGGTTCCAGGTGACCCAGACCAGGTTTATAGGGGCACCTGAGGTGCTGAGCTGATCATGGCAGAGGTTCCTGCCCTGCTCTGAAGGTCCCAGGTGACCCAGGCCAGGTTTCCTGAGGTGCTGAGCTCTTGGTGGCAGCGGTTCCTGACGTTGCCAGAAGGTCCCAGGTGACCCAGATTTGGGGTCCCATGAGCACCTGAGGTGCTGAGCTGTTGGTGGCAGAGGTTCCTGCCATGCTCAGAAGGTCCCAGGTGACTCTGGCCAGGTTTCCTGAGGTGCTGAGCTGTTCATGGCAGAGGTTCCTGATGTGCTCAGAAGGTCCCAGGTGACCCAGGCCAGGTCTCCAGGAGCACCTGAGGTGCTGAGCTGTTGGTGGCAGAGGCTCCTGCCCTGCTCTGAAGGTCCCAGGTGACCCAGGCCAGGTCTCCAGGAGCTCCAGCCCCACCTCCCTGCCCTGCTGGGTGACAGGTTTGGAGTCCCAGGGAGAAAAGAAAAGTCACAGTGGGTTTGTAGCACCTGTGGTCACAGAGGAGGTGACAAAATCAACCATAAATATCCTAATTTGGGTCTGGATGTCCTGCCAGGGCGCTGAGGGTGCTGAGCTGTTGGTGGCAGAGGCTCCTGCCATGGTCAGAAGGTCCCAAGTGACCCAGGCCAGGTCTCCAGGGACACCTGAGGTGCTGAGCTGTTGGTGGCAGAGGCTCCTGATGTGCTCTGAAGGTCCCAGGTGACCCAGGCCAGGTCTCCAGGGACACCTGAGGTGCTGATCTGTTCATGGCAGAGGTTCCTGACGTTGCCAGAAGGTCCCAGGTGACCAGGCCAGGTTTCCTGAGGTGCTGAGCTGTTGGTGGCAGAGGCTCCTGCCATGCTCTGAAGGTCCCAGGTGACCCAGGCCAGGTTTCCAGGGCACTGAGCGTGCTGAGCTGTTGGTGACAGAGGTTCCTGACATGGTCAGAAGGTGACTCAGGCCAGGTCTCCAAGAGCACCTGAGCTGTTGGTGGCAGAGGTTTCTGCCATGCTCAGAAGGTCCCAAGTGACCCAGGCCAAGTTTATAGGGACACCTGAGGTGCTGAGCTGTTGGTGGCAGAGGTTCCTGACGTGGTCAGAAGGTGACTCAGGCCAGGTCTCCAAGAGCACCTGAGCTGTTGGTGGCAGAGGTTCCTGCCCTGCTCTGAAGGTCCCAGGTGACCCAGGCCAGGTCTCCAGTGTCACCTGAGGTGCTGAGCTGTTGGTGGCAGAGGTTCCTGCCATGCTCAGAAGGTCCCAGGTGACCCAGGCCAGGTTTCCTGAGGTGCTGAGCTGTTGGTGGCAGAGGTTCCTGATGTGCTCAGAAGGTCCCAGGTGACCCAGGCCAGGTCTCCAGGACCAAAGCACCCCCAGGTGGCTTTGGGATGGAGCTCCCTGTCCCCCCTGCTCCCTCAAATCAAGATCCCCGAAAAGTTTCTTGTAAATATCAGGAAATTGCAGTTTCCTGCAGCTCTGCCATCGTTACACATCTGTCTCCCTTCCACACGTGAACATCTCCTCATTTATTGCCGTGCTTTTGTCACCTGGGCTCTTCTCTGGCCTTTCAGGATTTTTCTCTGGGGTTTCCAGATCCTTCTTTGGGGTTTCCGTGTGTCCTTCTGTCACATATTGCATGTTGGATTTGGGATTTCCAGCTAAAACACAACACATATTTATGATGTGTTATTTATTATTAATAATTTATTATTTATAATACAAATAATAAATTTATTTATATATAATAAATTATAATTTATTATTAATAACTTATTATGATTAGTAGCATTAGTATTAGTATTAGTATTATTTAGTATTTAGCATTTATGGTTCCCACCTGCTCTGGCCATGGTCAGCAGCAATTAAATAAAACAAGAATTATTTATTATAAGTAAATAAGAATAATTTATTATAATTAAATATTATAATATTAATAGAATATGATAATTATATAATTTATAATATTATTAAGATAATTATTTATAATTAATTAAATAAACTTAAATACTTATTATAATTAAGTATTTTAATACTAATTGAATATTATAATACTGTAACATAATATTATTGTGATAGTTATTTTTTATAATTAAATAAAACAAGGATTAGTTGTTGTTGAAAACAAGAACATATTTACAAGAATATGTTAATTAAAGTTTTTTACCTTGTCCATTCTTCTCATGGCCTGGACTGTCTTCATTAGATCTGGATTTATAACTCTCCAGTGTTTGTTCTGAAACATCATTTTCTGTGGAAAAAACCCACAAAGTTTAATTTAAATTATTAAATTATTTAAATTTAATTAAATAAAATGTTAAAAAAATTAAATAACAAAAAAATATAAATGAATTTTTTAACAATTAAAACACCACTAAATTGAATTATGAGAACGAGATTTTTTTTTTTTCCATTATTCCTTCTCACCCTCTGCCTTGAGCAGAAAATCCTGAGAGAAGAGTTAGAAAATGGGGATTTCTCAGCCTGAGAGAGATCACCATCATCTCATAAAAATCGTGAGAGCAGTCAAAAGATGGGGATTTTATCAGCTTGAGAGAGATCACTGTCATCTCCCAAAAATCCTGAGAGAAGAGTCACAAAATGGGGATTTCTCAGCCTGACAGAGATCACCATCACCTCATAAAAATCCAGAGAGAAGAGTGAGAAAATGGGGATCTCATCAGCCTGAGAGAGATCAGCATCATCTCATACACCATCATCTCATAAAAGTCCTAAAAGAGCCACAAATTGAGGATTTATCATCCTCAGAGAGATCACCATCATCTCCCAAAAATTCTGAGAGTCACAAATTGGGGATCTCATCAGCCTGAGAGAGATCAGTATCACCTCAGAAAAATAGTGAGAGAAGAGTCACAAAATGGGGATTTTATCAGCCTGACAGAGATCACCATCACCTCACAAAAATCCTGAGAGAAGAGTGAGAAAATGGGGATCTCATCAGCCTGACAGAGATCACCACCATCTCCCCAAAATCCAGAGAGAAGAGTGAGAAAATGGGGATTTCTCAGCCTGAGAGAGATCACCATCATCTCATAAAAATTCTGAGTCACAAATTGGGGATCTCATCAGCCTGACAGAGATCACCATCATCTCCCAAAAATCCTGAGAGAAAAGTTAGAAATTGGGGATTTCTCAGCCTGAGAGAGATCACCATCATCTCATAAATATCCTGTGAGAAGAATTAGAAACTGGGGATTTATCAGCCTGAGAGAGATCACCATCATCTCCCAAAAATCCTGAGAGAAGAGTCACAAAATGGGGACCTCATCAGCCTGAGAGATGACCATTATCTCATACACCATCATCTCACAAAAATCCTGAGAGAAAAGTTAGAAAATGGGGATTTATCAGCCTGACAGAGATCACCAACATCTCATAAAAATCCTGAGAGAAGAGTCACAAAATGGGGACCTCATCAGCCTGAGAGAGATCACCATTATCTCATACACCATCACCAATCAAAAATCCTGAGAGAAGAGTTAGAAAATGGGGATTTCTCAGCCCGACAGAGATCACCATCACCTCATACACCATCATTTCCCAAAACTCCTGAGAGAAGAGTTAAAAAATGGTGCTTTCTCATCCTGAGAGAGATCACCATCATCTCATAAAAATTCTGAGTCACAATTTGGGGATTTCTCAGCCTGAGAGAGATCACCATCATCTCATACACCATCATCTCTCAAAAATCCCAAGAGAAGTTACAAATTGGGGATCTCATCAGCCTGAGATGACCATCATCTCCCAAAAATCCTGAGAAGAAAAGTTAGAAAATGGGGATTTATCAGCCCGACAGAGATCACCATCATCTCCCAAAAATCCTGAAAGAAAAGTTAGAAAATTGGGATTTATCAGCCCGACAGAGATCACCACCATCTCCCAAAAATCCTGAGAGAAGAGTCACAAAATGGGGACCTCATCAGCCTGAGAGATCCTCATCATCTCATATACCATCACCTCTCAAAAATCCTGAGAGAAGTTACAAATTGGGGATCTCATCAGCCTGACAGAGATCACCATCATCTCATACACAATCATCTCATACAGCATCATCTCACAAAAATCCTAAGAGTCACTAAATGGGGATCTCATCAGCCTGAGATCACCATCATCTCCCAAAAATCCTGAGAAGAAAAGTTAGAAAATGGGGATTTTATCAGCCTGACAGAGATCACCATCATCTCATAAATATCCTGAGAGAAGAGTTAGAAAATGGGGATTTCTCAGCCTGACAGAGATCACCATCATCTCATACAGCACCATCTCACAAAAATCGTGAGAGAAGAGTCACAAAATGGGGATTTTTCAGCCTGACAGAGATCACCATCACCTCTCAAAAATCCTGAGAGAAAAGTTAGAAATTGGGGATTTCTCATCCTGAGAGTGATGACCATCATCTCATACACCACCATCTCCCAAAAATCCCAAGAGAAGAGTCACAAAGCAGTGATTTCTCATCCTGAGCACCCCAGGGATGGCCTCGAGCCCCCAGTTCCTGCTCCCCACCTCTCTTCCACACCCCGTGAGCTTTCTTCAGCTTCACCATGAACAGCAGCACGATGATGAGCAGCACCAGGATCAGAGCAGCCACCAGGATGGGCAGCAGGAGATTCTTCTCCTTCCTCAGGGGTCCTTTGGATTCGGGATTTTGCTCTGTAACACAGGTTTGTGCTGTTAAACGTGCTGGGAATTTCTGGGAATTCAAACAGGGATGATTTCACCCCAAGGATGCATTCCTGAAAAAACAAGTTTCTTTCCTGCAGGGGAAATCTGATTGGAGCAAAGAGGCCTTTTTGCAGTTATGTATACATTTTCCTTTTATATATTTCCTTCTTTATATATTATTTATTTATATTATTTATATATTAAAGGATATATTTATAGATTTCCTTATATATATATATATTTATATATATTTATTTATATATATTATATATATATTTTTATATATATATATATATATAATATATATATATTATATATATATATTATATATATATATATATATTTCCTTTTCCTTTCCTTTAGTTGTCTATACTTTTCCCTTTCCAAAATTTTCCAGTGGTCCTTTTCACCAGTTACACTGGTTGCTAGAAGAAATTGATTTTTCCAGCTGTGCTTCCCAGAATTTCCTCCCTGCTACCCCATTCCATTCCCTGGGATTTTCTAAAATCATCCTCTTCTGCTGCTGCTTGAATTTCTCTCTTTCTCCAGGAACTGACACAACCAGAGCACACAGCCTCGAGCTGCACAAGGGAAATACAGGCTGGATAGCAGGAAGAAGATTTTTCCAGCAAGGGTGATAAAGTTCTGGAATGTTCTGCCCAGGGAGGTGGTGGAGTCCCCATCCCTGGGTGTGTTTAACAAAGCCTGGATGTGGCACTGGGGGCCAGGGTTGAGTTGAGGGGTTGGGGCTGGGTTGGACTGGGTGACCTTTAGGGTCTCTTCCAACCTGGGGATTCTGTGATTCTGTGATTTTGTGAATTCTGTGAATTCTGTAATTCTGTAATTCTGTGATTCTGTGATTCTGTAATTCTGTGATTCTGTGATTCTGTGATTCTGTGATTCTGTGATTCTGTGATTCTGTAATTCTGTGATTCTGTGATTCTGTGATTCTGTAATTCTGTAATTCTGTAATTCTGTAATTCTGTGATTCTGTGATTCTGTGATTCTGTGATTCTGTAATTCTGTGAGTTCTGTGATTCTGTGAGTTCTGTGAGTTCTGTGAACAGTTGTTGCACAGTGCCATCTAGTGCAGCCCATCCAGAGCATCCCAGCCTGGCTCCCCACCCTGCTCTTGCCTTTCTTCCTCCAAGGAGAGGAATTTTGGCTGGGAAAAAGGGAGAACAAGCAGGAAACGCCGTGCTGGGTCCCACACTGCTCTGGGATGTGGGATGGAGCTCTGTGCCCGGCAGCATTTCTGCAATTGTCATTTCAGATTTGATAAACTCAGGTGGCTGAGACCAAACTCACCCTTCAGAGTGACACCGGTGAGGTTTGGCTGGGCTGGTGCTGAGCTGGGACCTGCTGGAATCCCTGGGGATGCAGAGGGGCTGGAAACTCCTGGATCTTTTGGAGATGCAGAAGGGCTGGAAAATTCTGGGGATGCAGAAGGGTTGGAAACTCCTGGATAATTTGAGGATGCAGAAGGGCTGGAGAATTCTGGGTTCTCTGGGGATGCAGAAGGGCTGGAAACTCCTGGATCACTTGGGGATGCAGAAGGGCTGGAGAATTTTGGGTTCTCTGGGGATGCAGAAGGGTTGGAAGCTCCTGGATCATCTGGGGATGCGGAGGGGCTGGAGAATTCTGGATTTTCTGGGGGTCCAGAGGGGCTGCTGGAAACTTCTGGATTCTCTGGGGATGCAGAAGGGCTGGAAACTTCTGGATTCTCTGGGGATGCAGAAGGGCTGCTGGAAATTTCTGGATCTTTTGGAGATGCAGAAGGGCTGGAAATTTCTGGATTCTCTGGGGATGCAGAGGGGCTGGCACCTGCTGGATTCCCTGGACAACTGGAACCTGCTGGATTCTCTGAAGGGCTGGGGACTTGTGTGTCCTCTGCAAGTCTGGTTGCTTCTTTGCAGCCTGAAGAAACCCCCAAAAAATGACAAAAATCAGAAGAAGCTTTGCCACCGAGCAGATCCTTGAAAAACCACCCTGCCCTGCTCCATGCTCTGCATTGTTCGGATTTTCTGCCCTGCTCCATGCTCTGGATTATTTGGGTTTTCTGCCCTGCTCCATGCTCTGCATTGTTTGGATTTTCTGCCCTGCTCCATGCTCTGGATTATTTGGGTTTTCTGCCTTGCTCCATACTCTGGATTATTTGGGTTTTCTGCCTTGCTCCATACTCTGGATTATTTGGGTTTTCTGCCCTGCTCCATGCCCTGGATTGTTTGGGTTTTCTGTCCTGCTCAATGCTCTGGATTGTTTGGATTTTCTGCCTTGCTCCATGCTCTGGATTTTTTATTGGGTTTTCTGCCCTGCTCCATGCTCTGGATTTTTTATTGGGTTTTCTGCCCTGCTCCATACCCTGGATTGTTTGGATTTTCTGCCCTGCTCCATGCTCTGGATTGTTTATTGGGTTTTCTGCCTTGCTCAATGCTCTGGATTGTTTGGATTTTCTGCCCTGCTCCATACTCTGGATTATTTGGGTTTTCTGCCTTGCTCAATGCTCTGCATTGTTCGGATTTTCTGCCCTGCTCCATACTCTGGATTATTTGGGTTTTCTGCCCTGCTCCATGCTCTGCATTGTTTGGATTTTCTGCCTTGCTCCATGCTCTGGATTGTTCAGATTTTCTGCCTTGCTCCATGCTCTGGATTTTTTATTGGGTTTTCTGCCCTGCTCCATGCTCTGGATTTTTCACTGGGTTTTCTGGCTGATCAAGGGTCTCCCTTCCAGTCCCACCCTCACCTTTCCTGCCCTCAGAATATTTTTCCAGCCCTTTCCCGCCCTTGCTGCTCTGAAATGAGGAATAAAATGCAACACTCGGCCGTGGGGAGCTTGGGGCAGGAGCTGCTGCTCAGCTCTGCCACTGAGGGGCAGCTCCAAACCCATTTTTTGCCCCAGGTTCCTCATTTTAAAGCAGACCCCACAATTCCTGGGGTCCGTATCATTTTCACCGGCTCAGGGCAGTGAAACTGGAGAGGCAGAGCTGCAGTACCCGAGCTGGGGAGGCCCTGGAAGGGGAAAGAGGCCCCCAGGCGCTGTGGCCCGAGTGCAGGGTGCCGGACCATGCACGTGGCTGTCGCTCCGGGGCTGGAGCTGAGGATCCTCAGCGTGCTCCTGCTGATCCATTTCTTGCCATCAGCTCCCAGCTGGTGCCTGGTGTCACCTGCGAGTCCGTGGGGAGAAAAAAGAATGAAATGAAATAAAATTAAATGAAATAAAATAAAATAGAATAAAATAAAATGAAATAAAATGAAATAAAATAGAATAAAATAAAATAAATAAAATAAAATTAAAAAAGAATAAAAAAGAATAAAATAAAGAATAAAGAATAAAATAAAATAAATAAAATAAAGTAAAATAAAATAATAAAATAAAATAAAATAAAATAAAATAAAATAATAATATAAAATAAAATAACAAAGAATTTTAAAAAAGGAAAAAAAGAGAATAGAAATGAATAAAATAAAAATAAAATAAAATAATAAAATAATAAAATAAAATAAAAAATAATAAAATAAAATAAAGAATAAATAATAAAGAATAAAGAATAAAGAATAAAGAATAAAATAAAATAATAAAATAATAAAATAAAAAAAATAAAATAAAATAATAATATAAAATAAAATAAAAAAAAAGAATTTAAAAAAGGAAAAAAAAGAATAAAAAAGAATAAAATAAAACTAAAAATAAAATAAAATAAAAAAGAACAAAATAAAATAAAATAAATAAAAATAAAATATAATAAAATACAATAAAATAAAATAAAATAAAATAAATAAATAAAATAAAAATACAATACAATACAATACAATAAAGAATAAAATAAAATAAAATCATTTCTATCCCCCTGAAATCATGTTCTCCTACAACACAGGTTTGACTCTTCCCCTTTTCCAGCTGTTGGAATTTACCCAGAGGATTCCTTGCTTTGCCACAAGGAATTAGGGGGAGTCTGGTGGGATTCCCAGTCCTGCAGGCAATGCTGATGAAATGAAAACTAAATTTGTATTTGATGTAAGCAGAGATGTGTTTGAACAGCCCTGGTGGAGGGGAAGGTGTTTCAGATATTTCCTGGAGGACACAAATATCCCTGTTTACAATGCAGAGCCTCTGATGCACCCCTTGCTCTGCTGCCCTGGAATGAAAGAAATTCCCAATTTCCAGATGAACCTTTCCAAATGGACCTTTCCAAACGAACCTTCCCAAACGAACCTTCCCAAATGAACCTTTCCAAATGAACTTTTCCAAATGGACCTTTCCAAATGAACCTTTCCAAATGGACCTTTCCAAATGGACCTTTCCAAATGAACCTTCCCAAATGGACCTTTTCAAATGGACCTTTCCAAATGAACCTTCCCAAATGGACCTTTTCAAATGGACCTTTCCAAACGAACCTCTCCAGACCAGCCTTTCTCAGCCTCTTTTGCCTCCCCAGCAGGGCCAGGTGAGAGCTCCAAAAGGGTTTCAGAAATCATCTTTGTCAGTAATCACAGCTGCTTTGCCCCTGCTGAGCCCCGGTGCTGTCAGTAATTAAGATTTATTAGCTGTTTTCTGATTAGTGTAAATATTTGCAGGAAGTGATTAAAGCTGGGGATGGAAGGGGGAGGAAGGAGAGTCACTCCAAGCCTTCAAAAACAAAAAAAAAAAAGGAGAAAAACACAGGAATTGGAGCAATAGTGAATTAGGGCAATGAATTTTTATATTTCAGACAATGAAATTTGTGTCTCTCATCTTTTCATGTAAAAGTGGCTGCTCTGAAGGGAGCCCCAGGTGAACCAAGGCAGCAGCCCCAGCTCTGAGGGGCTTTCCTGGGGCTGGGAGGTGCCAGCTCAGGTCTTCCCTCTGCTCCAAAGGCAAGGAGAGATTTTTGGTTAAAATATTGGTTAAAATATTGGATATTTGTTAAAATATTGGATATTTGTTAAAATATTGGATATTTGTTAAAATATTTGAAAAATGCAGGTCTGGCTTGCAGGAGGTGTTTATAGTGTCTGAACTGTGTGCTGTGAAGTCACAAATAATTCACTTTATCAGGGTGATCTCAGGCTTGGGGAACGCCCTAATTTGGGAAAAACACTGTGAGGGACAGAGATAAAAAACCATGGGGATAAAATATCAGTTTATAGAAATATTGGGGTTTTTGTGACTTCCCAGCTGGTATTGCCAGGCCCTCACACTCGGCCCAGCTCTCCCAGACACAGGCAGCATTTACAAACCTGCTTTTCCACCATGCATTACTCCAGAACACCTTTTTATTTTTACATTCAAACCCTCCAGATTTCATCTGCCAACCCGATTTACTCTTCTTATTAAGATTTATTTCGTTTTTTACTTTATTCAGACCCGATTCATTCTCGTTGTTAACTCCAATTTCCATCCATACTCAGGCCAGAACACACAATTCCCTGCTGTTTTCTAGAGCTCTTACTTAAAAATAAACCATCTTAGGGCCAGGTTCAGCTTTAAATGCATTTCTGGATGATGCAAAACACAACTCAGAGCTTGTTGGTGCGTGAAAGAAAAAAAAAATTTGTGTTTTTCTCACATTTTTTGTGCAGATGTGCACTGGAGCTGCTAAAGGCAGTGATTTGTAGAATAATGTTATTTATAGCCCTGCCAGAATGGCAGTTATTTGTGCAGCAGACAGGTTGAAGGAGAAGAAAGGCTTTGAAAACCACGGCTCCAGGATTCTGGGGGTTTTTCAATCCCAAATAAAGTGGAATTATCCCAAATAAGTGGAGTTCAGCGCTGAAATTCCAGGGGTTTGGGTTCATTTTATCCCAGTGGAATCCAGTACAAAATTCCCAAGATTCTCGGTTCATTTTGTCCCTGTAGAATTTAGGGGGTTGGAAATTCCAGGATTTTGGGTTTATTTTATTCCACTGGAATTCAGTGCTGAGGTTCCAAAATTTTGGGTTTCTTTTATCCCTGTGGAATTCAATGCTGAAATTCCAGGATTTTGGGTTTATTTTACCCCAGTGGAATTCAGTGCTGAGGTTCCAAAATTTTGGGTTCAGTTTATCCCAGTAGAATTCAATGCTGAGGTTTCAGGAGTTTTGGGTTATTTTATTCCACTGGAATTCAGTGCTGAGGTTCCAAAATTTTGGGTTTCTTTTATCCCTGTTGAATTTAATGCTGAAATTCCAGGGGTTTGGGTTTATTTTACCCCAGTGGAATTTTGTGCTGAGGTTCCAAGATTCTGGGTTCATATTAATAAATTCCTTGTGGAATTTAATGCTGAAATTCCAGGATTTTGTGTTTATTTTATCCCAGTGGAATTTAATGCTGAAATTACAGAGATTTGGGGTTATTAGATTCCAATGAAATTGGTTTAAAATAGGTTCTAGGATTTTGACTTTTTTTTTATCCCAGTGGAATTCAGTGCTGAGGTTCCAAGATTCTGGGTTTAATTTATCCCAGTGGAATTTAATTTAATATTTAATTGATTCCAGTGGAATTTTTTGCTGAAATTCCAGGGGTTTGGGTTTATTTTATCCCAGTGGAATCCAGTGCTGAAATTCCAAGATTCTAGATTAATTTTATCCCTGTGGAATTTCCTATTGAAATTCCAGGGGTTTGGGTTTATTTTATTCCACTGACACTTAGAGCTGAGTTTCCAGGATTCTGGGTTTATTTTATCCCAGTGGAATTTTGTGCTGAGGTTCCAAAATTTTGGGTTCAGTTTATCCCAGTAGAATTCAATGCTGAGGTTTCAGGAGTTTTGGTTTATTTTATCCCAGTGGAATTCAGTGCTGAACTTCCAGGATTTTGGGTTTATTTTATTCCACTGACACTTAGAGCTGAGGTTCCAGGATTCTGGCTTTATTTTATCCCAGTGGAATTCAGTGCTGAGGTTCCAAGATTCTGGGTTCATTTTATCCCTGTGGAATTTCCTATTGAAACTCCAGGATTCTGGGTTCATTTTATCCCATGGGAATTTAGAGCTGAGGTCCCAGGGGTTTGGGCTCATTTTATCCCTGTGGAATTTCATGCTGAAATTCCAGGATTCTGGGTTCATTTTATCCCACTGCAATTCAGTGCTGAAATTCCAAGATTTTTTCGCTTTATTTTATCCCAGTGGAATTCAGTGCTGAAATTCCAAGATTCTGGAGTCATTTCATCCCTGTGGAATTCAGTGCTGAAATTCCAAGATTTTTCGCCTTATTTTATCCCACTGCAATTCAGTGCTGAAATTCCAAGATTCTGCAGTCATTTCATCCCTGTGGAATTTAGTGCTGAAATTCCAAGGGTTTGCGTTTGTTTTACCCCAGTGGAATTTCATGCTGAAATTCCAGGGGTGTGAGTTTGTTTTACCCCAGTGGAATTTCATGCTGAAATTCCAGGGGTGTGAGTTTGTTTTACCCCAGTGGAATTCAGTGCTGAAATTCCAAGGGTTTTGCTTCATTTTATCCCAGTGCAATTCAATGCTGAAATTCCAAGGTTTTTGCTTCATTTCTTCCCAATTCAATGCTGCAATCCCAGGATTTGGGGGTCATTTCATCCCAGTGCAATTCAGTGCTGCAATCCCAGGATTTGGGGTTTATTTCTTCCCAATTCAATGCTGAAATCCCAGGATTTGGGGTTCATTTCTTCCCAATTCAATGCTGAAATCCCAGGATTTGGGGTTCATTTCTTCCCAATTCAGTGCTGCAATCCCAGGATTTGGGGTTCATTTCATCCCAGTGCAATTCAGTGCTGCAATCCCAGGATTTGGGGTTCATTTTATCCCAGTGCAATTCAGTGCTGAAATCCCAGGATTTGGGGTTCATTTTATCCCAGTGCAATTCAGTGCTGCAATCCCAGGATTTGGGGTTCATTTCATCCCAGTGCAATTCAGTGCTGAAATCCCAGGATTTGGGGTTCATTTCTTCCCAATTCAATGCTGAAATTCCAAGGGTTTTGCTTCATTTCTTCCCAATTCAATGCTGAAATCCCAGGATTTGGGGTTCATTTCTTCCCAATTCAATGCTGCAATCCCAGGATTTGGGGTTCATTTCTTCCCAATTCAGTGCTGCAATCCCAGGATTTGGGGTTCATTTCATCCCAGTTCAGTGCTGCAATCCCAGGATTTGGGGTTCATTTTATCCCAGTGCAATTCAGTGCTGCAATCCCAGGATTTGGGGTTCATTTCATCCCAGTGCAATTCAGTGCTGAAATCCCAGGATTTGGGGTTCATTTCTTCCCAATTCAATGCTGAAATTCCAAGGGTTTTGCTTCATTTCTTCCCAATTCAATGCTGAAATCGCAGGATTTGGGGTTCATTTTATCCCAATTCAATGCTGAAATCCCAGGATTTGGGGTTCATTTCATCCCAATTCAGTGCTGCAATCCCAGGATTTGGGGTTCATTTTATCCCAGTGCAATTCAGTGCTGCAATCCCAGGATTTGGGGTTCATTTCTTCCCAATTCAGTGCTGCAATCCCAGGATTTGGGGTTCATTTCTTCCCCATTCAGTGCTGCAATCCCAGGATTTGGGGTTTATTTCATCCCTGTCCTGCCTGTTCCCCACACCTGCCCCAAGCTGCAGCCATGAATTACAGCCCAGCTGAGATTTCCCCCTCCAGCATCTCCAAACCACCCAAAACTGACCGAAAATAAGAATTTTAGTCCTCAAAGCAGCTTTGAGCTCTTACCTGGGAGCTCAATGCCGTTGTCCAACAGCCAGGAAATCTGGGGCTGGGGTCTGCCCCCCTGCGTGAGGCAGGAGAGGTTGAGGCCTCTTTCCTCATCCTGGGACATTTCCAGCACCGGCTGGGATGGAGCAGCTGCAGCAGGAAGGTTTAGGATCAGTTTAGGGGCATTTTCTACTCCTTTTCATCAGCATTATTTATTTTTTTTATCAGCATTATTTCTTTTTTTCATCAGCATTATTTCTTTTTTTTAATCAGCATTATTTCTTTTTTTTCATCAGCATTATTTATTTTTTTTATCAGCAATATTTCTTTTTTTTATCAGCATTATTTCTTTTTTTTATCAGCAATATTTCTTTTTTTTATCAGCATTATTTCTTTTTTTTATCAGCATTATTTCTTTTTTTTCATCAGCGTTATTTCTTCTTTTCCTTTTAATCAGCATGATTAGAAGGTAATAATTAAAAGGAGGGGGTAATAATTAGCATTGACTCCACGATCCAGAAGGCATGGAAGACATTTTATCATTAGAAATAATAATTATTAAATTATTATTAACTTATTAGAAATAATTTATTATTACAGTTCTTATAGAAACAATGGTGGACCTAAGACTTTACTATTAGAAATCTACAGTTCTTCTAGAAACAATGGAAAAACCTATGATTTTACTGTTAGAAATCTACAGTTCTTCTAGAAACAATGGAAAATCTAAGACTTTATTATTAGAAATCTACAGTTCTTATAGAAACAATGAAAACCTAAGATTTTATTGTTAGAAATCTACAGTTCTAATGGAAACAATTAAAACCTTAGATTTTATTGTTAGAAATTTACAGATCTTATAGAAACAATGGAAAACCTAAGAATTAGTGATTAGAAATCTACAGTTCTTATAGAAAACCTGAGACTTTATTATTAGAAATCTACAGTTCTAATGGAAACAATGGAAAACCTAAGATTTTATTGTTAGAAATCGACAGTTTTTGTAGAAACGATGGTGGACCTAAGACCTGATTGGCCTCAAAGTGAAAACCTCTCCCACACTATTGGTGGCTCTCAAAAACACACCCTAGAGAACCTTATTTATAAATAATGGTCACAGAAAGAGAGATAATAATTCTTTGAATTGTTTGAATTCTTTGAATTTTAGAGAACAATATCTGTAAGAAATGGCTACAGAAAGAGAGATAATAATTGTTTGAATTCATTGAATTCTTTGAATTTTAGAGAACCAGCTCTATGAACAATGGTTACAGAGAGATAATAAATTGTTTGAATTCTTTGAATTCTTTGAATTCTTTGAATTTTAGAGAACCACATCTATGAGCAACGGCTACAGAGAGATAATAATTTTTTTAATTGTTTGAATTGTTTGAATTCTTTGAATTTTGGAGAACCACATCTATGAACAATGGTTACAGAGAGATAATAAATTTCTTTAATTGTTTGAATTGTTTGAATTCTTTGAATTTTAGAGAACCAGCTCTATGAACAATGGTTACAGAGAGATAATACATTTTTTTAATTGTTTGAATTGTTTGAATTGTTTGAATTTTAGAGAACCAGATCTATGAGCAATGGCTACAGAGAGATAATACATTTTTTTAATTGTTTGAATTGTTTGAATTTTAGAGAACAATATCTGTAAGAAATGGCTACAGAAAGAGAGATAATAATTGTTTGAATTCATTGAATTCTTTGAATTTTAGAGAACCAGCTCTATGAACAATGGTTACAGAGAGATAATATTTTTTTAAATTGTTTGAATTCTTTGAATTCTTTGAATTTTAGAGAGCAATATCTGTAAGAAATGGCTACAGAAAGAGAGACAATAATTGTTTGAATTCTTTTCCTCTAAGTTTCCCACAGCTTCCCAGGGTTTTTCTGGCAAAGTCTGTGCCTGCTGTCTGTGGCCAGGGAGCTGCTGCCACAGGAGGGGGCTGAGCTAAAAACAAAATGGAAAAATTGATGGAAAAATTGATGGAAAAATTGGTGGAAAAATTGGTGGGAAAATTGGTGGAAAAATTGATGGGAAAATTGGTGGAAAAATTGATGGGAAAATTGATGGAGAAATGGATGGAAAAATTCAGGTGTGGATTTGAGGAGCTGGCTCTGTCCTGCTCTAGGTAAAAAGCCAGAGCAGGTGAGGGCACTTACCCAAAATCTCAACCTTCTGGCTCTTGGTTTTGACGTGCCTGGTGTAGCAGAAGCACCTGTAAATCCCCTCGTCCTGCTGGCTCAGGTTGGACAGCTGGATGGACAATTCCTCCTTGGAATAGCGCAGCAGTTTGTACCTCTGGTCCCGTAAAACTGCCAGGAGCAGAAAATGCAGCACACACAGGGCTTGGTTCAGCACAGGGAGAAAGCTTGGGGAGGGTTTTTATTGTATGGGATTGGAAAAGTTCAGGTTTGTAAATGAAAGCATCTCCTAGGGCATCGCTGCCCTCATTTCTGTTGACTTTCTGATCTTCAATTCTTCCCTCCTGCTGCACAATTTGCAGGAGCCCTCAGGGTCAGCCCAGCAAGTCCATGAACTTTTCCCACAGCTGCAGCACAGAAAATGCAACTTTCTGCCCTTAAATTGAACTGAAACTGGGGCTTTGTACAAACATCAGGGGGAAAGAGACCTCCAAACTTCTCTTTTTATCTTAATTTTTTTTTTTTAGCTGAGGTTTTGACAGAATACTGAGCTGGAAGGAATTCCCAGCAATTTGGGCGAATCCAAATAATTTTAATATTATACCTAAATTTATTTAATTTTATAACTAAATTTATTCAATAAATTTAATTAATAAATAATTAAATGTATTTGAGAGAAATGTAATTTAATAATTTATTTAATTTATTTTAATATTAATTTTATGATTAAGATTTAATTAATTTATTTAATTTATTTAATTTTTGAATTAATTTATTTAATTTAGAATTAAATTAATGCAGTTCTTTAGAACTCTGAACTCCACACACAGTGGGAGCTGCTGCTTCCCCATCTGGGGCAGACACAACAATTCCTCTCCAGGATTTCAGCTTTTGTATTTTCCATCTATTTGAAAGAGATGATATTATATTTAATACTAATACTAATGCTACTACTACTACTACTACTACTACCAATAATAATGAATTCTATTTAATAATAGTATATTATTATATTTTCCATCTATTTGAAAGAGATGATATTATATTTAATACTAATGCTACTACTACCAATAATAATAAATTGTATTTAATAATAGTATATTGTTATATTTTCCATCTATTTGTGACCCTGCAGTTCTTTAGTGTAGAACTCTGAACTCCACACACAGCGGGAGCTGCTGCTTCCCCATCTGGGGCAGACACAACAATTCCTCTCCAGGATTTCAGCTTTTCTATTTTCCATCTACTTGAAAGAGATGATATTATATTTAATACTAATACTACTACAAATAATAATAAATTGTATTTAATAATAGTATATTATTATATTTTCCATCTATTTGTGACCCTGCAGTTCTTTAGTGTAGAACTCTGAACTCCACACACAGCGGGAGCTGCTGCTTCCCCATTTGGGGCAGACACAACAATTCCTCTCCAGGCCTGGCAATCAAGGACACCTCACTGCCTCAGGGCCCAGAGATGGGAACAAAAGGGAGTTGGGGGCAGCAAACTTGGGGTCAATGACTTCATCAGCTGCAGCTGGAATTGGCAGATTCACCCCCAAAATGCAAATGGACCAAACTTATAAAAGTGTGAACCCTGTGACCCATTGTCCATTTTTGGGTGGGTTTTGTCTGCCCTAAGTGTACCTGAAGGCCCTTCAATAAACAGAAAACCAGTGTTTATTATTCTTTTAATTTTGTCTGGCCTCTGTTTTGGGGTGACCCCAAAAAGCACCAATTTTGGTGACCACAAAGGACCCTCTGGACCCTGCCACACCCCCCCGTTGGCACTTTGGGCACCGCCCTGGCCCGGGTGGCAGCGGGGCCAGCCCAGCATCCCCAGCCCTGCTGGGCAGCGCCGCCGCTCTGGGTTCCACACTCACCCTGCTGGGCATTGAGGAAAATGGTGAAATTCCGAGGGTTTAACCACTGCAGGGTGAAGTTGCTGCTGCTGAGGGTGCTGAAGGTGCAGTTGAGGTTCAGATTTTCTCCTTCCTTCAGAGCCACAGAGTCGCTGGCAGCCCCTGGAAACCCCCCTGCGACACAGCAGGGGGAAAAACAAACTGGAAATTGTGACATGAAGCAAAGCAGGGACATTTTGCACAAAGTAATGTGTTAATTTTCCTTTTTTTTTTTTTTTTGCAATGTTTTTTTAATACTTCTACATTGCCAGTATGGTTGTAGGGATATAAATAAATTATTGGCATTGGACAAGTCATCTGTGTGACAAAGCTTTGGGATCTCCACCTGCCAGCATTTAATTACTAAACTAATTACTAATTTAATGACCAGATGTAATTACTAAACCAGTTTTAGTCATTAGCCAAGAAAGTATTTCCCTGTTAGCCAATACAGAACTGAAACAGATCCATCTCATGCACTCTCTCCCTGGATTTAAACACAAACATTCAATTTTCACTTATCCCATGATGAGAACTAAATAATATTTAAGGTCCCTTCCAACCCAAACTGTCTCTGATTTTGTGTCCCATTTGCTCCGTGTGTGACTGAGCAGTGAATGATTTCCCAACACCTCTAAAAACGAGGCTTTTTTTATTCAGAAATGAAACTTTTGAAAAAAAAAAACCCAGACCTGGCCTGGCAGAGGTTACTGAAATGAAATTTCACTCTCTCTTCTCCCAGCTCATTTCACAGGCTGGCAGTAAAATGTGCTTTTCCTCTCCAGCCATTCTAAGGCAGATAAAACACTTTGTGAGAATATTGGATGACAATTTGGATGAATTGCCTTCTCCAGGCAAAAACTGTGCCCTGGAGAATTCTAACATTGCTGCCTGCCTTGCAGTTGAGTAAATGGGCAGTGGGAGAGTTTTGTGTTCATTCCTGTTTTGTGTGTTTTGATTTGATTTTCCACGCAGCTCTCGGCTGCCAGTTCCCACTGCAGTTTGAGGAAATGAATCTCCCTGGGCTTTGGGGAAGATTTTCATTTTCTTCATGCTCAGAAATTATTTTTTTTTTGGTCGGGAATTTTGCTGGAGCTGATTTTGGTACCTCCAGCACCAGCCTCATCCCCCTGCAGGGCAGCTTCCCGTGGGGATTGTGGCTGTGAGAGGAGCTGTGGCAGGAGGTGAGAGTTGTTCAGAGGCAGCTGGGGCCGTGTGTGGTTTCTCACAGCCCCCTCGGGTATTTCTGTCCCCGTGATGGTTTCCTGTCACCGCCGGCAGCGTGGGGACATCACACCTCTGGGGGTGACAGCAGCAAGGAGAGCTGGGGGTGATGTTTGCTGTCCCAGCCCGGGGCAGAAATGGAATTTCCACGGGAGACCACTGGGAAATGAGTTTGATTCACAGCGTGACTCACAGGGCAGCTCATTCCCAGCACGGGGGCTCCACTGCGGTCCCCAAACGTGGGACACGTCCCCATGGCAGCTCCAGGGCTGGTGGCTTTTGTCCCACGGGAATCCCACCTGGAATAACCACCAAGTGCCAGATCCTCGGCCAGAAAGGGCAGCACTTTGGTGCTGGAATTGCAGAGGCTCTGAGCAGAGTGGTTCTGCTGTGGCTGCTGCTCTGGGAGCCCCCAGGAAGTGACTGAGAGCGACTTGCACTGAGACCTGCACTGAGAGCACGGGTGCAGAGCCAGCTGTGAGATTCTAACCCACAATATCATCCTATTTAATGAGTTTGGTGCAGAGTTAGCTGTGAGATTCTAACCCACAATATCATCCTATTTAATGAGTTTGGTGCAGTTAGCTGTGAGATTCTAACCCACAATATCATCCTATTTAATGAGTTTGGTGCAGTTAGCTGTGAGATTCTAACCCACAATATCATCCTATTTAATGAGCTTGGTGCAGTTAGCTGTGAGATTCTAACCTACAATATCATCCTATTTAATGAGTTTGGTGCAGTTAGCTGTGAGATTCTAACCCACAATCACCCCATTTAATGAGTTTGGTGCAGTTATCTGTGAGATTCTAACCCACAATATCATCCTATTTAATGAGTTTGGTGCAGAGTTATCTGTGAGATTCTAACCCACAATATCATCCTATTTAATGAGTTTGGTGCAGAGTTAGCTGTGAGATTCTAACCCACAATATCATCCTATTTAATGAGTTTGGTGCAGTTAGCTGTGAGATTCTAACCTACAATATCATCCTATTTAATGAGTTTGGTGCAGAGTTAGCTGTGAGATTCTAACCCACAATATCATCCTATTTAATGAGTTTGGTGCAGTTAGCTGTGAGCCTGTAACCCACAATCACCCTGTTTAATGATTTTGGCACAGAGTTATCAGTGAGATTCTAACCCACAATCCTATTTTAACATCTGTGAGCCTGTAACCCGTAGAGCCATCCTAATTAATGATTTTGCTGCAGTTATCTGTGAGATTCTAACCCACAATCACCCTATTTAATGATTTTGGCACAGAGATATCTGCGAGCCTGTAACCCTCAGTCATTTTATTTAATGATTTTGGCACAGTTATCTGTGAGATTGTTAATGGCAGAGCCACCCCATTTAATGAGTTAATTTTGGTGCAGAGTTGTCTGTGAGCCTGTAGCCCACAGAGCCACCCCATTTCCTGATTTTGGTGCAGTTATGTGTGAGATTGTAACCCTCAGTCATTCCATTTAGTGATTTTGGTGCAGTATGTGTGACATTGTAACCCTCAATCATTCCATTTAGTGATTTTGGTGCAGTATGTGTGACATTGTAACCCTCAATCATTCCATTTAGTGATTTTGGTGCAGTTATCTGTGAGATTCTGCCCCACAGCCACCCCTGTTTAATGAGTCAGTTTTGGTGCTGTTCTAGATGAGTAATGCAACGGTGCGTTCTGATAAGGTGTTAATAAACCTTTTAAATTTTTGGAAGTGAGTATTATTTCTCACAGGTGCAGTCATCTATGAGCCTGTGACCCACAGCCACCCCATTTAATGAGTTGGTTTTGGTGCACAGTTATCTATGAGCCTGTAACCCCCAATCACCCCATTTAATGAGTTAGTTTTGGTGCACAGTTATCTATGAGTCTGTAACCCCCAGTCACCCCATTTAATGAGTTGGTTTTGGTGCACAGTTATCCATGAGCCTGTAACCCCCAATCACCCCATTTAATGAGTTAGTTTTGGTGCACAGTTATCTATGAGCCTGTAACCCACAAACATTTAATGAGTTAGTTTTGGTGCACAGTCATCTATGAGCCTGTAACCCCCAATCACCCCATTTAATGAGTTAGTTTTGGTGCACAGTTATCTATGAGTCTGTAACCCACAGAGCCACCCCAATTAACGATTTTGGTGCAGTTACCTGTGAGATTGTAACCCACAGCCACCCCATTTAATGAGTTGTTTTTGTCCTGACTGCTGACCTGTGGAGTTGAATTAATTCTGGAAGCCAAGGCAGCAGCTACAAATTCATCCTGCACGAGTCTGGGGCACAAGGGAGGAGAGGGGTTGGGCTGAGAATTAGCAAATTGTCAGAGACAGCCCTGCAGTGGTTTCTGCTCCAGGGTCTGCTGAGGAGGGAGAGGGAATTTGCCCCAGGATCCAGAAAGGATCCATGGACCCAGCCCCAGGATCACGGAGCCGTTTCTCCTGCAAAGGGCAGGAGTGAAGCCCGCAGGGGTCCTGCCATGGATGGGTGCCCTGCTCCTTCCCTGGGTCCTCTGCGGGACCCTCCCTCCATCCCCTGCCCAGCACTCAGACACGAACCTGGAGCACTCCTGTGCCTGAAGCCAAAGGAGATCCAAATGAGCTGCTCCTCTAGCAGGAGTGAGGGCACGAACATCTCGAGTGCTTTTCCTTTCCAAAGAACTTTGCAAGTTCTCCCTCAATTGCTCTGACTCCACACAATGCACCCAAAAGGGCAGATTTGGATTTCTGACCCAGGCAAAGCAAGCACTCATTTTGATCCCCTGCCCAAATTTAAGGCAGAATCTTTGGATACCCCAAAGCTTTGTCACCTCAAGCTGCCAGGAGTAACTCTGTGTCACTGATCCTGGGTTTAGGACTCAGTGAGCTCACTGACCCCTAAACAGGGTGATAACTCATATAAATGGGGTGGCAAAATTTGGCATGGGGTTACACAATTGGGCATGGGGTGATGTCCTGGCTCAGGGCAAATGTGGGAGAGAACTCCCAGAGGGGTTCCTCTAGAAAAGCAGATCCAACTGGCCAGGGCACCAGGACAGGACAAAATTGGGAAAGGGGTGACAAAATTGGGAAAGGGGTGACAAAATTGGGAATGGGGTGGCAAAATTGGGAAAGGGGTGACAAAATTGGGAAAGGGATGATAAAATTAGGAAAAGGGTGACATTAAAATGTTGTCACCCACACCCAGCAGCCCTGTGCCCTGAGCTGGAGCTCTGGGAAGAGTTTTCCCAGCTGGACTGGGGAGGAGAGCTGGGCTGGGATAAAGCCGGGCTTACCTTGCAGCAGCAGGAGCAGCGGCACGGCGAGCAGCGCCCCGGGCACGCTCATGCTGAGCTGGGCTGGGCTTGGCTGAGCTGAGCTTGGCTGGGCTGAGCTGAGCTGAGCTTGGCTGGGCTCGGATGAGCTTGGCTGAGCTGAGCTGAGCTCGGCTGGGCTGAGGTGAGCCGGGCTCGGATGAGCTGAGCTTTGCTGGGTTGAGCTGAGCTGAGCTTGGCTGAGTTGAGCCGGGCTCGGATGAGCTGAGCTTGGCTGGGCTCGGCTTCCCCTGCGCGCTCTCCGCGCTCCTTTTGAGCGCATTTCCCGTGCCTTCGGCCGCCCCAGGGTCGCTGTCCCTTCCCTCTGCCCCCAGCCCGCGTTTCCTCTGCGGTGGCGGCGCGGAGCCCGCGGTGACCTCACGGAACCGGTGGGCGACAGCAGCGGGGACTCGGAATTTCAGCGATGCCCCCGGCTCAGCCCGGGCAGGGAGGAGGGAAAAGGGCAGGGAAAGGTGGGGTGGGGTCACCCTGAGGCTGGGGTGGCCGGGGTTTCATTCCCCGGGTCAGAGAGGCAGCGCGCACTCGGTGGATGGGGCAAGGCTGCTTAAAAACCGGCTTTAATTTTTTAATCCGTCCATTTTAAATGCCCGGATTATAAAAATGGCACTTGTGGATGTGGCAAGGCAGTTTAAAACCCATTTTAAATGATTGGATTAAAAAAAAAAGTCACTCGTGGATGTGGCAAGGCAGTTTAAAAACCCATTTTAAATTCCTGGATTATAAAAATGGCACTTGTGGATGTGGCAAGGCTGCTTGAAAACTCATTTTAAATCCTTGGATTAAAAAACATCACTAATGGTGGTAGCAAGGCTGCCTAAAACCCATTTTAAACGCCTGGATTATAAAAATGACACTTGTGGATGCGGCAAGGCTGCTTGAAAACTCATTTTAAATGATTTGATTTAAAAAAATAGTCACTCGTGGATGTGGCAAGGCAGTTTAAAAACCCATTTTAAATACCTGGATTATAAAAATGACACTTGTGGATGTGGCAAGGCAGTTTAAAAACCCATTTGAAACGCCTGGATTATAAAAATGACCCTTGTGGATTTGGCAAGGCAGCTTAAAACCCATTTATAATGCCAGGATTATTAAATGTTACTCGTGGAAGTGGCAAGGCTGCTTGAAAACCCATTTTAAATGCTTGGATTATAAAAATGACACTCGTGGAAGTGGCAAGGCTGCTTAAAAACCCACTTTAAATCCCTGGACTAAAAAAACCCACCAAAAATGTCACCCGTGGATGTGGCAAGGCAGCTTAAAACCCATTTTAAATACCTGGATTATAAAAATGACCCTTGTGGATTTGGCAAGGCAGCTCAAAACCCATTTTAAACGTCTGGATTAAAAAGGAAAAGTCCCTTTTGTGCCACTGTGCCAGGAGGTTTTTGGGTGGCTGTGCCAGGGGATGCTGCAGGAACAGCACAGGGAAATCGAAACGAGACTGGTGAACACAAAACCCCCAAGAAAACCCAAAAATGCTGAAGAAAATAAGATTTTTCTCCCTGTGATTGCTCACACCTAATTCGAGACGAGACTACAATTGTCAAAATATTTCCCAACCATCCCAAAGGGAATCGGTGCCTGTGCCTGGGGCTGGGAGAGGAGGGAAGGGGGCGCCAGCAGCTCCCAGGGCCACAATTCGGGATTTTCCTTGCAGGTCTGATAATTCCAGCCTGGTGCCCCCCCAGCTGTGTGAAAACATCGCAGGTATCTGAGTTTATCCCGTGATTTGTGATTTCCCAAAAAGAGAATTTTTGGCAGATCCTCCTTTGGAACTGCTCAGAATTCAGTCAAAATAAACAGAATTTAATAAGATAATGGTGGTTTAAAAGCTGTGTGTGCTTGAGTGAAGTGGACAAAATTAATTATAAAAACAAGGTGTGTTTTATTATTATTATTATTATTATTATTATATTATTTATTATATATATTATTATATTATATATATAATATATATAATATATTATATATAATATATATAATATATTATAATATATAATATACATAATATATATTAATATATATTAATATATAATATATAATATATAATATATAATATATAATATATAATATATAATATATAATATATAATATATAATATAATATAATAAATATATAAAAATATAATATATATAATATAATAACTAGATAATATATATTATATATTTATTATATAATAATATTATTATATTATTTATTATTATTTCCCATGAAATTTCATCACTCGGAGGGTGTTTGGATGATAAATCTGTGTTTTTTCTTTTCATCATCAGGAATCGATTTTACTGGAAAACAGAGCTGCAGGTCATGGATTTGAAACAGAATTGAAAGAAAAAAAAAAGAAATAAAATTGGGTTGAAAGGAAAAAAAAATTAAAAATTAAAACCCAGATTAAGATAGATGTGTTGGAAAAGTGAGTTTGGCTTGAAAGTCGTGGCTTCAGTTCCAGACCTGAGAGTGAAATAATTCCGGGGAAAATCTGAATTCGGAGGGAAAATCCCATCCCCGGGCACGGAGAGCGGGAGTGGGGAGGATTTTGTGCCATCTGCTGTCAAGGGAGCGAATTTCAGCCTCAGAAAAAAAAAGGGAAAATGCAGCTCAAAGCCCCAGCGCGCTCCGGAGGAAATCCGGAATAGGAAAAGTGCTCGCTTTTAAATCTGCATTAAATCTGCATTAAATCAGCCACGAGGTGTTTGTGCCTGACTCCCGAGAGTTCCGTTTAATGTGAGGAGAGAATCAGAACGCAGTGGTTGTTCCAGGTGGTTTGAACAGCACTCAGAACTGAGATTAAAAACAACCACCCACCCTCCCCTTGCCAGCCCCACCCCTAAAATAAAAAAATACAGATGTCATAGGTAATTACAGCTGGTTTTGGCAATACAGGTATTGGGGTTTTTTTTTTAAACAGCGAACTTTTTTTTTTTTCTCTCTCAAATAAATACAGTCTGCTCACACTAAATAAAATAAACCAAAATCCATGATGAACAGAATGATACAAGGGGAAAATGAAACAAAACAAAAAACAAAAAAGGAAAAGGAGCTGTTGATAACATCAAGTCTGAAGAGATGTCATGGAGAGAAAGTTCAGAAAGTACTGAAATAATGAGAAATAATGAGAAATAATAAAGGAACTGGCTGAGTATTTTCTGTTGTGGGTCACGAAGAGTCCCTGGGGGATGAATTTGAGGAAGTGGGGAGCAGCAAGAAGTGATTTGGAGCCTTTGCAGCCGGGCTGGTAATTAGCAGCCACTGTTAATTGCATTTCTTGTGTTCAGTGACTGCTCCCCCATCTCCTCCCTGTACTTCATTCCCTCAGTGCCTCTTTTGAAAGAAATCCAACCAAAGGAATTCTCTGGGGATGAATTCACCACTTCCTTTAAATTCACCAGAATTTCATAGCAGGAGGGCCCTGGCCCCTGTCTGAAACTGCTCCGTGCCACTGAAAAGGGAAATACCAATTTTTACTGAAATTATCATGGTCTGGATCCTCATTTTGCATAAACAAGCAAAGCTCTGTTCATTGGAGTGTAAAGTCAATTTAATTCTTGTTTTTTTGTTTGTTTGTTTTTTTTTCTATGCCATACATTGCAAATTATTAAAATTAACTCTTTATTCTCGGCAGGTTTGCAGCTTTTCTTTCTTTAATTGTGGAGAGAGGGAAAAACCTGGGAAGTGCTGTTAGAATAAAAGTTGGGATCTGATGCAGCTCACAGTGAAGGAAAAGATTTTGGAAGGCTCAAGTTTAATGTTCTGGGACAAACCACTGCAGTGACACTAAATCCACATTAATGAGCATTAAATCCACATTAATGGGGTGAAAATGAAGCAGCAATTCTTTTGTCCTCTCAACCTCTCAATTATAAATTTTAAAAGGAACAACATTTTCTCTCTTTTTTTCCACCCAAAAAGCCCTTTCAACACGAGACTGTTGAACACAAAACCCCCAAGAAAACTCAAAAAATGCTGAAGAAAATAAGATTTTTCTCCCTGTGATTCCTCACACCTAATTCGAGACGAGACTACAATTGTCAAAATATTTCCCAAACATCCAAAAATATATATATATATATATATTTAAAGAAGAGTATTTGAACATCTACCTCCTCAACCAGAACACATTTTTTTCTCTATTATTTTATCAAAGAGCAGCTGACACCACTCAAATTGTACATTCAGCTTTTGCTCCCTCTCTATTTCGTGCTCCTGAAAATCTCCTTTTAATGTCACTCAACTCCAGCAGGATCTGAGATAAATAAATATTAGAACACAACAATATTTCCTGCCCCAATTTTTACACAAAATTCTGGAGAATTCACACGCCTCAGCGACCAAATTTTTTCTCATTTTTTTGGTGTGATTGTCAAATATTTAATTTTTTTGTTTGTTTGTTTTTTGCATGGATGAAAACAAGCCAGAAATGCTCTTCAGAATGTCTGCACACAGCAAAAAAAATAATTTAAATGACAATTAAAAATGAACCTGGCAGCAATAAAACCACACAGGAGCAGGTTGGGGTTTTTTTATTTCGCTGTCCTGAATTTTCTCCCTGACTTTTCAGTCCCATCCCTGCTGTAATAAAGCACTTATGAGTGGCCTAAGGTGTGTTACACAGTCCTAAAAGTAGAAATAATGGAATTTTCATCCTGTGGATTGTGGGGATAGCTGGGATAGTGGCCAGGATGGGCTCAGGGTGGGCTCCAAACTGAGCTCAGCCCCTCTGGGGTTGCTCCAGCCCCATTTTCTCCTTTTTTTGGGGTTTATTCCATCCCAAATTTCTCCTTTTTTGGGGTTTGCTACAGCCCAATGGTTTCTCCTCTTTTGGGGTTTGTTCCATGCCAATTGTTTCTCCTCTTTTTGGGGTTTGCTCCATCCCAATTTTTTCCCCTCCTTTGGGGTTTTTTCTGTCCCAATCTTCTCCTCTTTTGGGGTTTTCTCCATCCAATCGTTTCTCCTCTTTTTGGAGTTTTCTCCATCCCAATTTTCCCCTCTCTTGGTGTTTTTTTCCATCCCAATTTTCTCCTCTTTTGGGATTTGCTCCATGCCAATTGTTTCTCCTCTTTTGGGGTTTGTTCCATCCCAATTTTCTCCTTTTTTGGGGTTTGCTCCAGCCCAATGGTTTCCCCTCTCTTGGGGTTTTTTCCATCCCAATTTTCTCCTCTTTTGGGATTTGTTCCATGCCAATTGTTTCTCCTCTCTTGGGGTTTTCTCCATCCAATTGTTTCCCCTCTTTTGGGGTTTTTTCCATCCCAATTTTCTCCTTTTTTGGGGTTTCCTCCAGCCCAATTGTTTCTCCTTTTTTTGGGTTTTTTTCCCATCCCAATTTTCTCCTCTTTTGGAGTTTTCTCCATCCCAATTTTCTTCCCTCTTTTGGGTTTTTTTCCCATCCCAATTTTCTCCTCTTTTGGGGTTTTCTCCATCCCAATTTTCTTCCCTCTTTTGGGTTTTTTCCATCCCAATTTTCTCCCCTCTTTTGGGTTTTTTTCCATCCCAATTTTCTCCTCTTTAGGGAAGCTGGAACTGCCATTTTTGTCACTCCCTGGTTGTTGTGGCAGCTTGGGGGAGCTGACACCAGCCCTGCCCAAAGGAAAATCCACCAAAAAACCACAAAAACTTGATTTTCCTGTGATTAATAAACATCAAACCTGGGCCTCTCACCCATTTCAAACACTTCAGCCCTTTGAGCAGAGGCAGAGCTGGGAAAGGACGGCAGAAATCCAGAAATTTCTCCTGGAACACCCCAACGTGCCTTGGATGCTGCTTTTTGTTTCATTCTTTTGTGGTTTTCACACTTTTAAAGATTATTTTGTATTTGTTGCCCAGAGCAGCTGTGGCTGCTCCATCCCAAGGTTTTCTCCCACCCAAACCATTCTGGGATCATTTTGTTCCTGGGAATGCTCAGACTTTGGCCCAAACCAAGGCAGGAGTGGGCCTAAATCTCTTCCATCCCGTTTAAACCCAGTTTTAAATACCTGCTGACAAACCTGAAGTGCCTGCAGCAATTTTTTGACCAAAGCTGATAATTTTAGATAATTCTATCACTAAATAATTTATAATTTATTGATAATTTATCACCAAATAATTGATAATTTACAATTTATTGAAAATTGCAAATCAATTTTCATCATTAATTATTTAATTTATTTTAATTTTAATTTTTTATTTTTATTTTAATTTAATTTAATAATTAATTTGTCATCAAATAATTGATAATTTGCCACCAAAGCTGAAAATTTTAGATAATTCTATCTCCATATAATTTATAATTTATTGATGATTCATCACGAAAGCTGATAATTTTAGGTAATTCTATCACCAAATAATTTATAATTTATTGATAATTTATCACCAGATAATTGATAATTTACAATTTACTGAAAACTGATAATTTATCACCAAATAATTGATAATTTGCCACCAAAGCTGAAAATTTTAGATAATTCTATCTCCAAGTAATTTATAATTTATTGATGATTTATCACCAAAGCTGATAATTTTAGGTAATTCTATCACCAAATAATTTATAATTTATTGATAATTGTTAATTTATCACCAAATAATTGATAATTTATCACCAAAGCTGATAATTTTAGGTAATTGTAATCCTAAAAACCCCTGCTCTGCTGCCACTTTAGGTTGTTATAAATACCCACTCTGGTGTATTTTGGGGTTTTTTAGCATCCTGCAGGCTCTGGCACCAAAGGATTCCCCTTGGGATCCCAAATTTCTTGGTTAGAGATGGAAATTCTCCTTTTCCACCTTCCCCCCCATCCCAACCCTTCCCTCCTTGGATAATCACATCAAATGTTGTTCCTAAATTGAAATGTGCTGTTTTTTGGGTTTTTTTTTTGTAGCTGTTCTGTCTTTATGACAGGTGGAACTTGGGAATGGAGGGTGAGGAGGAAAAGCCCTCAGAATTCCATGGAATTCCTGCTGAATTCCAGCAGCTTTTCCATCCCATCACTCCTGGAGCATCCTGCAGCATCTCCCCAGGGCTGCCAAAGGGACACAGAGCCACTCCTGAATGGCCAGCACAAAAAATCCCAATAGAAAAGGGAAAAAAAACCCAAAAAAAAACCTTTTCCAAAGCCTTCTGAAGGGAATTTAAACAGCACAAAGCTCTGGGCACACGGGTGGGTTTCAATAACCAAAATAAAGGACTAAAAACCCCAAATCTGAACTTCCTAAATCCCTCAGGTTTGGCTGGAAAAGTCTTCTTTTATTTCCACTTCAAACAAATCCCTCCCAGCTTTTGTTGTGCTGAACTTTTGATGCCCAAACTCCACCTGGAACCGATGTGAAATTCGGGATTTTCCTCTGAGCCAGAATTTTTGCTTCATATTGACCAATCTCTCATTTTCCCTGAATATCAACCAACAAATCCCTCCCAGCTTTTGTTGTGCTGAACTTTTGATGCCCAAACTCCACCTGGAACCGATGTGAAATTCGGGATTTTCCTCTGAGCCAGAATTTTTGCTTCATATTGACCAATCTCTCATTTTCCCTGAATATCAACCAACAAATCCCTCCCAGCTTTTGTTGTGCTGAACTTTTGATGCCCAAACTCCACCTGGAACCGATGTGAAATTCGGAATTTTCCTCTGAGCCAGAATTTTTGCTTCATATTGACCAATCTCTGATTTTCCCTGAATATCAACCCATCTCTGCACAATATCCAGCACATTTTGAGCACTCCCATCTTCGCTCAGAGGAGAGGAACAACCTGGTGCGGCCTGCAGAGGCAGCCCTGGACTCAATTCCAGCCTTAGGGAAGGAATTTTTTTTTTGATTTTTTGATTTTTTTTGATTTTTCTGGGAGGTGCTGAGGGTTTGGGGACTGGGAGTGGAGCAAGCACGAGGTGCTGAACAAGGCTGCAGACACTTTGTAAAAACAGCAGCAAGAAAACAACCCCAGCATCCTGCCTGACACATTCTCATGGTCCCTACAGTGAAAGTGTCACCAGAGCTGCTCCAAGGTGAGGAAACCAACCCCGAGCTGTGCAAGAGCCTCGAGCTGTATTTGAATTTATTTTTTTTCCCCCCCATTTCGCTGTAAACGAGCTGATTTACAGCCCATTTAAACGCAAAAAGACTTTTTTTTGGCAGGGCCGCGGCTGTGTGAGGTGTGCGGGGCAGGTGAGGGGGGCTTTTCCTGCTGGCGATAGAGCACGAGGAGGAGGAAGAGGAGGAAGAGGAGGAAGAGGAGGCGATCCCCAGCGCTGGAAGGGCTGTCCCCTACTCCTGCAGGAGCGTTTCTCTCCAGTTAAAGCCTCCGGTCGGTCCATGAGTGAGAGGGAGGATGGGAGGGTCCGTGAGCTGCCACACACCAGTGTCCCCCAGCTCTTCACAGGAGCAGAAGCCCAGGTAGGGAATCTGCGAGGAGAGAGGTGGGAATTAGGGCAAAAAAAGGCAGGATTTGACCCTGCCCTGCCACTCCAGGATCTCACCCTTTTTTTTTCTCTCTTTCCCTCTCCCAAAGTCCATTTTCAGATGGTGATCGACAGGCTGTGCACCACGAAATAAAACAGATTATACCCTTGGAATGTGGGTTTGAAAATGCAGTTTTGAATGGAATGTAGCTTTAAAAATGCAGTTTTAAGAATGCAGTTTTAAGAAGGTAGTTTTAAGAAGGTAGTTTTAAGAATGTAGCTTTAAAAATGCAGTTTTAAGGATGTAGTTTTAAGAATGTAGCTTTAGGAAGGTAGTTTTAAGAATGTAGGTTTAAGAAGGTAGTTTTAAGAATGTAGGTTTAAGAATGTAGTTTAAAGAATGTAGCTTTAGGAAGGTAGTTTTAAGAATGCAGTTTTAAGAATGCAGGTTTAAGAATGCAGGTTTAAGAATGTAGGTTTGAATGCAACGTAGTTTTAAGAATGTAGTTTTAAAAATGTAGTTTTAAGAATGTAGTTTTAAGAAGGTAGTTTTAAGAAGGTAGTTTTAAGAAGGTAGGTTTAAGAATGTAGTTTTAAAAATGTAGGTTTAAGAACGTAGTTTTGAATGAGAGGTAGTTTTAAGAATGTAGATTTAAGAAGGTAGTTTTAAGAATGTAGGTTTAGAATGCAGTTTTAAGAAGGTAGTTTTAAGAATGTAGGTTTAAGAAGGTAGTTTTAAGAATGTACCTTTAAAAATGCAGTTTTAAGAATGCAGTTTTAAGAATGTAGTTTTAAGAATGTAGCTTTAAGAAGGTAGGTTTAAGAATGTAGGTTTAAGAATGTAGGTTTAAGAAGGTAGTTTTAAGAAGGTAGGTTTAAGAAGGTAGGTTTAAGAATGTAGCTTTAAAAATGCAGTTTTAAAAGGGTAGGTTTAAGAAGGTAGGTTTAAGAATGTAGGTTTAAGGATGTAGATTTGAATGCAATGTGGTTTTAAGAATGTGGTTTTAAAAATGTAGTTTTGAATGAAATGTGGTTTTAAAAATGTGGCTTTAAAAATGTAGTTTTAAGAATGTAGTTTTAAGAATGTAGTTTTAAGAATGTAGTTTTAAGAAGGCAGGTTTAAGGATGTAGGTTTGAATGCAACGTGGTTTTAAGAATGTGGTTTTAAAAATGTAGTTTTGAATGAAATGTGATTTTAAAAATGTGGCTTTAAAAATGTAGGTTTAAGAACGTAGTTTTGAATGAAAGGTAGTTTTGAGAATGTAGATTTAAGAATGTAGTTTCAAATGAAATGTAGTTTTAAGAATAGTTTTAAGAATGTAGCTTTAAGAATGTATCTTTAAGAAGGTAGTTTTAAGAAGGTAGTTTTAAGAAGGAAGGTTTAAGAATGTTGTTTTAAAAATGTAGGTTTAAGAATGTAGTTTTGAATGAGAGGTAGTTTTGAGAATGTAGATTTAAGAATGTAGTTTCAAATGGAATGTAGTTTCAAATGGAATGTAGTTTTAAGAATGTTGGTTTAAAAATGTAGTTTTAAGAATGTAGGTTTAGAAATGTAGTTTTTAAGAATGTAGGTTTAAGAAGGTAGTTTTAAGAAGGTAGTTTTAAGAAGGCAGGTTTAAGAATGTAGTTTTGAATGCAATGTAGTTTTAAGAATGTAGTTTTAAGAATGTAGTTTTAAGAATGCAGGTTTAAGAATGCAGGTTTGAATGGGATGTAGGTTTAAATAGGGACCAGCTCAAAGCAAATGTGGTCCCAAACCAGCCCAGCTTTGGGGAAATGTGGGTGTTCCTGCAGCTCAGGAACATTTTTGTTCCTGTTTTGTTTGAACTTTGGGGGAATACGGATGTTCCTGCAGCTCAGGTGGGCATCTGGCCCCACAAAGCACAAACAGCCCCTGCACACCCATCTCAGGAGGGTCCCTGGCCCCACACTCTGCCCCAGCCCCTCAAACCTTTCTCCCTCACCCTCCTGACTCCTGAAACTCCTCAGACTCAGGCCAGGCCCTGCCCCAGCAGATCTCCTCTTGTTCTTGGCCCTGCTGGCCCTCACCTTTCGGACCATCTGTACAAAATCCTTGGAGTTCTGGGGTGACAGCCCCTGGAGCTGGCAGGTGCAGGCCTCCAGGGAGGATGCGTGAGCCACGATCAGGATGTTGTTTCCTGAAATAAAATGAGAAACACAATCTGAGGAGGGACCCAAAGCCAGGTTTAGGGGCTGGTGCCCCAGATCAAGCAGCCTTTTAAAATACTTTATCCTCTAACAACACATCGAGCTGTGAATTGTGGTCACATTCACATTCTCTGAAAAATCCCTTGGCTCAGGATTTTTCTCTTGGGAAGCTGAGGAGCCTCAGAGAAAAATGAAAACAATAAATATCTGATTTGCTTCTCCTGTGTTTTGCAGCTTTGGAATGTGGTTGGACATTGTTACCAACTGCTCATTGTTTGATTGGTTTCACGTGAATTGTTTTGACTCATTGGCCAATCAGGGCCAAACTGTGTCGGGACTCTGGAAAGAGTAATAAATTTTCATTATTATATTATATTATATTATATTATATTATATTATATTATATTATATATTATATTATAGCCTTTTGTCTGTATCCTTTCTGTATTCTTTAGTATAGTTTAGTATAGCATAATATAATATAGTATAGCATAATATAATATAGTATAGTATAATATAATATAGTATAATATAATATAATATAATATAATATAATATAATATAATATAATATAATATAATATAATATAATATAATATAATATAATATAATATAATATAATATATAATATAATAATAAATCAGCCTTCTGAGAACACAGAGTCACATTCCTCCCTGCCACAGGGCACCCCACAAATACAATAGAGAACGAAGGGGAAAATGGGATTTGTTAACATGTTTAGAGCATTTCTCAGTTTTCAGGGTAGTGCTTAACTCACTCCTTCTTTGAAAATGCTTTCTGGAGAAAACAAGAATTCCAGTGAGATTTTAGCTGTGCTGGGAAGCAGATGCTTTTTGCCCACACAAAGATTAATTCCTGTTCCAACAAACACTTTAATTTCACTGGCTGCCTTTGCACAGCGGCAGCTTTGCCTTTCCATTTCTGAGATCCTTTACGAGCAATGCCCCACTGTGCTCTTGAATTTTGGGTGCAAACCATTAAAATCAAAGCTTAGAATGCAGAGACAGGTCAGTGAGAGGAAATCAGTGAAAACATCAGAATTTAGGGATTCTCAGAATGTTGTGGATCAACAATAACAGATAGGGGTTTAAAAAAACTAAGAATTTCAACATTTCAATATATTGTATTTGTAGAAATGTTCTAAGGTTTTTATGGGAATATAATTTGGAGGAGGGGCTCGGATAGGGGAGGGAAAATGCCCAATTTAGTGCTGAGAACACACAGCAGAGGGCAAATAATTCATTTATTCCCTTGGGAATAAATTCCCACCATTCCAATGGGTCGGGATCCCTAAAATATTTCTGCTATTTAACTTTCTGGCCCTCTCTTGTAAGGTGATGTATCTAAAAAATAATTCATTGATTACCTTGGGAATAAATTCACATCATTCCAGTGGGATCCCTAAAATAAAATATTTCTGCTATTTGACTTTCTGGCCCTCTCTTATAAGGTGATGTATCTAAAAAATAATTCATTTATTCTCTTGGGAATAAATTCCCACCATTCCCATGGGTTGGGATCCCTAAAATATTTCTGCTATTTGACTTTCTGGCCCTCTCTTGTAAGGTGATGTATCTGAAAAATAATTCATTGATTCCCTTGGGAATAAATGAATTCTCTTGGGAATTTCCATTTATTCCCTTGGGAATAAATTCCTATCACTCCAATGGGTCAGGATCCCTAAAATAATTTTGCTATTTAACTTTGTGGCCCTCTCTTGTAGGAGGAGTGTATCTGAAATTACAGCTCAGGACTTTCCAATGCTTCTGGGAGAGAGGATGAGAGATTCAGGGCTGGGAATTCATCCCCTAAGAGGGCAAGATTTCAGGAATATTGGAATTGTTCACCCCCTCTGCAGCACTCACTCACCTTTGCCTTTACATTCACTGATGATTTCCTTCGTTACTTGGTAGCTTCTGCTTATGTAGGAGTCGTAAGACTCAGAAACCACCAACTTGCTGACAGGAATATGAGGTCTGGGAGGAGAAAAACACAGTCAGGGAATGGTCAAAATAAAGAATTCTAACTAACTGCAGGGTTTGGGAGGAGAAAAACACAGTCAGGGAATGGTCAAAATAAAGAATTCTAACTAACTGCAAGGCCTGGGAGGAGAAAAACACAGTCAGGGAATGGTAAGAATAAAGAATTCTAACTACCTGCAAGGTCTGTGTAACCTCCATGATCAGGAGGAATTGCCAGTGATGTGGGAAATTTGGTTGATAATGAGCCAAAGTTTATTTTATATGTATTTTTCTATATAATGATATTTATATAATTTCTATATAAATATATATAAATAATATTATTATATCATATATTTATCTATATGTTTCATATTATATATTATAGAATTTTCAGGTCATAGATATGTTATATATATATAGCTAGATAACTATCTAATATATATATATATGACCTGGAAATTATATATAAATATATATATATTTATATATTTTTATTTATTTAAATATATATTTGTGTGTGTGTGTGTGTGTGTGTATGCATGTATATATGTAAAATATAAAAACAGATATTTATATATAATTTTCAGGTCATATATATATAAAAATATATATTTATAGATATCATTTAATATATATATATACACATACATATATACATACATGTACACACACACATACATATACACACAGATATATATAAATAAATAAAAAAATAAAAATAGATATTTATATATACTTTTCAGGTTATATATTATATCTATTTAATATATATTATATATATTTAATATATATTATATATATTTAATATATATCTAGATAGTATTTAATATATCTATATACACATACATATATACACACACACATACAAACACACACATATATACATACATATACACACACACAAATATATATTTAAATAAATAAAAATATAAATATATACATATTTATATATAATTTCCAGGTCATATATATATATTAGATATATTTATAGATATTATTTAATATATCTACATACACATACATATATACACACATATACATATATATAAAAATATATATATATACACACACATATACACACACACACAAATATAAAATACAATATAAAAATATATATTTATATCTAATTCCAGGTCACGTTCAGCACAGCATCTGGAGCCTGCTCTGAGTTTCCTTTGAGACCCTGAGCATCTCTCCCAGCCCGTGGCCGCCCTGAGCAGCGCTGGGTGCCCAGAGCAGCCCCTGGTACCTGTAGGTTGTGTCCACGCTGAGCGTGGCTGCAGCCAGGTCTGCGGGGGGGATCCAGGCGGGCAGGGAGCTCCCCGACACCCACTTGGTCCATTCAAACAGGCCGGGCTCCACCCGGATCTTCAGGCTGTTCTCCTGCTGCATGCCTAGGACACACGGACAGGGGGCAGGCAGTAGTGGGGAGGGATAGAGCAGCTTTAATGCTTCAGGTATTTCTCAATAATTAAAAAATTATTCATTAAAAATTACAAATAATTAAATGTATTTCATGTATATGGTCCACTCGAACAGGCCGGGCTCCACCCGGATCTTCAGGCTGTTCTCCTGCTGCATGCCTGGGACACACTGACAGCACAGGGAGGGAGAGAGCAGCTTTAATGCTTCAGGTGTTTCTCAATAATTAAAAAATTATTCATTAAAAATTACAAATAATTAAATGTATTTCATGTATATGGTCCATTTGAACAGGCCGGGCTCCACCCGGGATTTCAGGCTGTTCTCCTGCTGCATGCCTGGGACGCACGGACAGGGGGCAGGCAGCGCAAGGGAGGGAGAGAGCAGCTTTAATCCTTCAGGTGTTTGTTAATAATGAAAAAATTATTCATTAAAAAATAATAAATGTATTTCATGTATATGGTCCATTTGAACAGGCCGGGCTCCACCTGGGTTTTCATCCTGCTGCATGCCTGGGACACACGGACAGGGGGCAGGCAGTACAAGGGAGGGAGAGAGCAGCTTTAATGCCTTAATGTTTGTTAATAATTAAAAAATTATTCATTATTCATTAAAAAATAATAAATTTATTTCATGTATATGGTCCACTCGAACAGGCCGGGCTCCACCTGGATCTTCAGGCTCTTCTGCTGCTACATGCCTGGGACACACAGACAGGGGGCAGGCGGCACAGGGGAGGGAGAGAGCAGCTTTAATGCTTCAGGTGTTTGCTAATTTATTGGTTTTCTATGGGAAATTAAATGTATATTTAATATATGCCCTACAATTGATTTGTAAATAATGTTAAAATTATTAAAATAAAAATTATTCATTATAAAAATTAAAAAATAATTAAATTTATTTCATGCATATGGTCCATTCAAACAAGCCGGGCTCCACACGGATTTTCAGGCTGTTCTCCTGCTGCAATTAGAAAAGGGCTCCTTATGGATTGTGCTGATATAAAATATATTGTTATGGAAATAATGATTGCCATTCACTTAATAGATATTAGTAATTAATTTAATTATAATAGAATAATAGAATAATATATATAATAGTAATATTATCTATAATAAAATATAATATAATAATAGAATATATAATAGAATAATTAAATAAAATAATAAATAAATGAAATTAACCATCATTTTATTAATCAATAAATTAATAACAACCTATATATTAACAAATAAAATTTTAATGAATAAATGATGAATTTAAATAAATTAAATAAATTAAATTTATTTCAATAATTAAATAAAATGATACAATAAGATACCAATATAATAACATACCAATATAATAATATATAACAATACAATAATTAATTCAATAATAAAATTAATACTAATTACCATTCCCCATGGACTTAGGTCCATGCTTTCTCTCTGTTTGTCAGTGTTTTGTGCAGCAAATGAGGAGACTCCAGCCTGTCCCTGTGGCTCTTACCTTTCAGGATGTTGTGGGCTGTCTGCACACAGCGCAGCGATGGCGAGCTGTAGATGTAGTCTACAATGGTGTTGGTTTCTAGCAAGGCTTCACCTGCAAGAAAATGTCCCCTCAGAGCCTCAGATGCCACCAGCAAAGTGTCCTTGGACCCATTTATTGCCACCAGGAAAGTGTGCCCTCAAACCCCTTTAATTCTCCACAAAATGTGTCTTTGGACACCTTTACTGCCAGCAGCAAAGTGTGTCCCCAAACCCTTTTAATGCCACCAGAAAAGTGTCCTCAGACCTCATTAGTGCCACCAGCAAAGAGTCCCTGGAACCCTTTAATGTCACAAATTGTGTGTCCTTGGACCCCTGAATGCCACAGCAAAATGTGTCCCTGGACCCCTTTAATGTCACAAATTGTGTGTCCTTGGACCCCATTAGCAAAGTGTGTCCTTGAACCCCTGAATGCCACAGCAAAATGTGTCCCTGGACCCCTTTAATGTCACAAATTGTGTGTCCTTGAACCCCTGAATGCCACAGCAAAATGTGTCCCTGGACCCCTTTAATGTCACAAATTGTGTGTCCTTGGACCCCTGAATGCCACAGCAAAATGTGTCCCTGGACCCCTTTAATGTCACAAATTGTGTGTCCTTGGACCTCTTTGATGCTATTAGCAAATTGTGTCCTTGAACCCCTGGATGCCACCAACAAAGTGTCCTTGGACCTCTCCAAAGCCACCAGCAGAGTGTCCTCAGGAAAGGGTGTCCACAGACCCCTCTAATGCCACCAGCAAAGTGTCCTTGGAGCTCTTAATGCCACCCAAAATGTGTCCTTGTCCCTGAGTGCCACCAGCAAAGTGTCCTTGGAGCTCTTAATGCCACCCAAAGTGTGTCCTTGTCCCAGAATGCCACCAGCAAAGTGTCCTTGGAGCATTTCAATGCCACACAAAGTGTGTCCTTGTCCCTGAATGCCACCAGCAAAGTGTCCTTGGAGCATTTCAATGCCACCCAAAGTGTGTCCTTGTCCCTGAATGCCACCAGCAAAGTGCTGTGACACTCACAGGGCCCCTTCTGTCCTGTGCAAACCCTGCTGCCATGTGCAGCCTGAGCATCCTCCTGCTGCTGCTGCTGCCCTGTGATTTGTTTGTGTTCAAACAAGGCAGGATAATTTTAGCTGCCCCAGTTTGGATGTGACCAGCAGGGAGTGCTCAGAAGGATTTGAGCTGGAAATGCTCAGAGCTCGTGTGTTTGAGGGGCTGGGCTCCCCATCACAGCTCTCAAGTTGTGCTGCTTTACTGACAAAGGGTTTTCTGTCTGTGCACAAACCAGCAAGCTCAGGGATGAGGGTGGGGAGGGTGGGAGAGCACTGGAAATGATTTGTGACAACATAAAGCCAGGCAGACTGATAAAAGGATACTGGTGTGGCAAACTGGGGGAAAAAAGCAGATTTTGCAGGAGGTGACAGCCACACTGCTGCAGTGCTCCACAATGTGGATAATAACAAAATCCTCCCAATGCACCACCCTTTGATGGCTCTGATTTCCCCCATGTCCCACATTTCTGCTTTGCCTTCTCAGCTGCAGCAGCTGAGGGAGATGAGGTTTCCTTTGGAAGAGGGAAATTGCTGGGGAAGGTGAAGAGACTTTGCAAAGCTCCTTGAAAGATTTAAATCCTGTCAGCTCAGGGCATCCAATCCATTTTTTCTGCCTTGCACTTTTTCTTTCTCTGATGGGGGGAAGATAATGGGAGGAAGTGGGAGGAAGATAATGAAGTTTCATGGGCAGGATCCTCATGGAACCATGGAATGGTTTGGGTTGGAAAAACCAAAAACCCCCTGGGCAGGGACACTTTTCACTACCCCATGTTGCTCCAAACCCTGTCCAACCTGGCCTTGAACACTTCCATGAATGGACAACCTGTGCCACACTCATGGGGAACAATTCCTTTAAACCCTTGAAAGATTTAAATCCTGTCAGCTCAGGGCATCCAATCCATTTTTTCCTGCCTTGAATGTTTCCTTTCTCTGATGGGGGGAAGATAATGGGAGGAAGTGGGAGGAAGACAGTGAAGCTTCCTGGGCAAGATCTTCATAAAGCCATGGAATTATTTGGGTTGGGAAAAACCAAAAACCCCCTGGGCAGGGACACTTTTCACTACCCCATGTTGCTCCAAACCCTGTCCAACCTGGCCTTGAACACTTCCATGAATGTGCCACACTCATGGGAACAATTCCCTCCCAAAAATCCCCCCCCAATCCCCCCTGTTCAGCTGCAAGCTTTGCCTGCTGAGCAGCACTTACCCACGAGCCTGGCCTGGGTGCAGCCCAGCACGGTGATGGGAGCATCCTTTTCATAATCCCTGAAACCACCACTCCTCTGAGGTAAGTTGTGAGGCATGTTCAGGTTGCTGCGCATGTACCTGCCTGCAGGGAGAGGTGCCAGCCTGGAATTATTCCCCCAGGCACAGGCAGGAACATCACACCTGATTTTCCCCTCTCCCACCACCTCAGCTGTGCTGTGCAGGTCCTGCCTAAGCCTGGCTCATGAGCAGGTTTTTTCCCCCCCATGTAAATCCATCAGTGATCTCAAAAAATTAAATTAAATGCCTCTCACCAGCTCAAAATCAGCACAGAATGTTACTAAGGGTCTAAACTTTTTTTTTTTTTAAGGACTGATTTCCCCAAGGGAATGTCATTTCTATCCCACAACAAACATTCCACTTTTACAGGAGGTTGGAATATCAGAGTTTAGAAAGAAGGGAGCTGTGAAATCATCCTTTCACTACCAGGTTTTGAATAGAGGAATCTGTCTTTTAGGACAGATTTCTGATCAGCTCTAAGGCCAAGACAGCCTGAAGTTATAATTTGTTCACTAGTCTGAAACCTGAGCATAACACTGGGTTGAAAACACCAATTTATGCCCCCAAAACCACTCTGAGCAGAGTTATTTTCATTTAACAAGTGAATGGCTCCATTTCATGAGAGTCAGCAGTGCAAAATTTTTCCTTGATGGCAGCAAATGTTTTCATTGAACACTGAATACCAACATCATGAGTGCATTTTCTCTTTGGTGATGTAACTGTAATCACTCCTGCAATATTTCCCTGAATATTGCCAAATGGAGGATTTCCTCCCTGCACGACTTGCTGCTGCAGGCTGCACAAAAATCATCATTTTGTGTTAAAACCCACAGCTCCCACCAGGCAGTGGCCACTTCTCTTTCCTCTATGAAATCCTGGGATACCCCCAGAGAACAATAAAGGTGAATAACAAAGGGCAGAACACCTCAAAGTTCCAGCAGCAAAGGCTCCACTTCAATGTTACAGCCGATTTTTGATCCAATTTTCCAAGTTATTGTGTTTTATTCTAATTGGTAGAATAAAACGAACTGAATTATTAGAAGAAATTTAAAATTATTAGAATTCTAACTTTCTTGCCATTCAATTCATTGGTTGGAAGGTGCCTGTGTGTGTATGTGCTGAGAGTCTTTACACAGGTGTTTGCAATTTTTCTTTATGGATTCTCACAGGACAGATTTCTTCCTTTTCACAGATTCAAACTGTCTTTTGACAAGAACAGATTGTTATGCAAAGCAATTTTCATGGTTCTTTTCCATGGGAACTTAACAGGCTGCCTGTTAACTGAGCTGAAGTAGCAAGGCCTGACTTTATAATGTGGAAGAGTTTTACAGTGACTTCTGTGAGCCAGAGAGGAGTTTGATAAGAGGATCCACGTTTACCCCTGAAAGAATTTCCTACCAAGGTTGTAGAATCCAAGAAAGAAAGAAGGATAAATAGGAAAACCTGCAACTCTCTATTCCATGAGCAATTTGTTTGTCTTTCCTGACCAATGGGTAAAGTGTAAACTGAAGAGTTTTGTAAGAATGTATAAAAAGCATCCATGCTGTAATAAAAACAGGTTTGAAACCTTCTGAAAATGGAGTGTAGCTTTGTGTGGTGACCATCTCAAATAGGACATTACAGGGCATTTTTTTAATAGGTTTTTACCCTACATGCAACACCCTGGGCTCACCTTTGGCATCGAAGCACTGGGACAGCCAATACTTCCCAAAAACCACATCCATCCTCTCTCCATGCCTGCACACGAACAGGCAGCGCTTCTGAGGGCCCGGCTGGCTGCTTATCCTCAGGGGCTGATGGTGGGGAAGATGAAACAGGAAAGCCTTATCAATGTGATTGTCTGGCAAAAGATTTTGGGAATATGGAAACTATGAGTGAGATTGAAATGAAAGCAAGCTTTGAGATCCCTCAGTTACTGAACAACTGGAAAACAATGGTGTGGCTGCTGAAGGTGATCCCCTTTTGATGGAACAACACCCTCTGCTTGCAGGCAGCCCCAAGGGGCAGAGCAGACCCTACAGCTTGGCAGAAGGGGCCCAAAGAGGAGTTTTTAGGGTTTAAAATGTAACACAGGATGGTGATGTAATGATTCTTATAGGCTGTATGGAAATGCTGTAGGATTTGTATCTTGTACTAGATTGGTTAGTGAGAATTAGAATATTCAACACAGAAGAAGATTTATTGTAATGGGAACCTCGCTCTCTTACCCTCTCATCCTCTCTCCCCTCTCTTCTCTCAGGCCTGCTCTGAGCTGTGCCTGGCAGCTCCCAGCAGGGCCCTGCACCCAGGCCCTTTGCAATACCCCACAAGTTTCCCAACCTGGCTGCAGAGATCTCTCGTCCCCATCCATCCTGCCCGTCCTACCCCCTGATGCTCCAACAGGCTGCAAGGGAATTGATGCCTTAAGGCTGAGCTTTCGTATTTCCCAGCCTCTGCCCTGCATTGGTGTGTGACTCTGAACTCCATACAAAGTGTCACCAAGTTCTCCCCACAGCTCAGCCCCACAGAACAATCCTTGTCCAGCCCCAGAACCAAGGGCACCGCTGCAGCTCCAGCCCAAAAAGTGCAAACGACAGAGAACTGAGCAATAAACAACAGAAAATTGAACAACAGAGAGCAAACTGGGAGGATGGGACTGCAGCACCTGGAGCTGGAATTGGACAATGAACCCAATGTGGAAATGGACCAAAATTTGTAAAAATGTGAAAACTCGTAACCAGGGGTCCATCTTGGGTGTAGCCTTGGCTGGGCTCTTGTACAGCCCAAGGTGTGTCCTTTATAAAATAAATTAATAATATCCTTTTAATAAATCCTCACTTTATTATTCTAACTCTGTCCAGCCTCTCCAGGCATCAAAGTGCCAGCAGGTTTGACCTTCAGCAGACACCAGCAGCAGGCTCCTCCTGCTTTGCCCTTGTGCAAACATCCCAGGGAAGGCTGCAGGATTTGTTGCTTTGATGGGTTTGTGGGGCTCTTTGGGAATTTATAATCCTGGTACATTTATCTATACATATAATCATTTATCTATAGATATAATCCTGGTACATTTTACATTTATTTTATGTGCTATAAAGCTGCTGAGGGGGGCAGAGGATGGGCTCCTGCCACCCCAGTTGAAGAGGCAGTTTGGGGATGGGGTTGTGTCATTACAAACTCTGTAACTTGTGCTGCAGAGAGTGAAAAGATAAATTTTTGGGGACAATCCATTCACTGGAAGGCTGTCCCTAATGATGTCTGGCTGTGGGGTCCCTACCTGCACGTTCTGGCAGATGATGGTGAGAGGCCCAGCGTCCCCTGGCCCTTGGTCTTCCTGCTGCCTTCTCTCCAGAGCTCCATCAGCAAAGCCTTGGAGGGACGGGCAGGATGTGGTGTTCAGAATGGAGTAGGACCTGCCAAAAATAGAGAAACATTGTCTTTGGGAATGGTGTTTGTGCTCTCAGGACGTTTCTGTGGCCTCCAGGAGCCAGTGGTAATTACTGCTGTGATGTTATTCCATTATTATTTGGGGTTTAATGCTGCCCTGAGAGCACCTTGCCAGGTGATGCACACACGTGAGGAGACAATCCCATCTCCATGGGCTGTTTCCTTAGGAACAATTCCCAGAACAATTCCCAGACTTTGGCCTGGGAGGCTCTCTCCACCCTGGAATGTTCTCATGGAAAATGCCAGGACCCTCCTGATGACCACAGGATGCTCACTAACATCACCTGGGGGCCTGTCCACATCGCTGACTGTGGATTTGTTGTCCCAGGTTTGGGAATTAACGGCTACAGGGAGTTTGCACTCACATTTCTAGCACAAGCTGTGGCTTCAGCAGGAAGCTGGGGCCTCTCCCTGGGCAGTTTTCAGGGTTTTTGTGCCCAAAGCAGCTTCTCTCCCTGGCAGGGACTCAGCCCTGTTGTTCCTGCAGTTTTCAGCGCTGCCTATTCCCCTTCCCACCTGCTTGGGAATTTATTCCCCTCAGTGCCTCCTGTTCAGTGCAGCCAAAGGGATTTAACAGAGCCCACTGTCCCTGCAGGGCCTTGCCTAATGATGGTCCCTCTAATAAAGCTCTCATTCCCAGATATTCAAGGGCTTTGGCCAAAACCCTGGGGACTAAAATGTGACAGGCAATTACAGAGGCTGCCTCGACCCTCTGCTGACTCAGTTACCTCTGCTTAGTCATTAAAAAAAAAGAACATTATCAGGTAATGGATGTGGTCATTTACTTTGACAGAAAGAGCTGCCAGAGCTGGCACTTTTCAGTGCCTTAAATACAGCAGGAGCTGCTTCCTGATAGCAGCAGTTGGGATAAAATCTCACAGGGGTTTCACAGCTGGTAAAACAGCCTCAAGTGACTCTGCCAGTGGGACGAAAATAGGTCACCTGCGTGAGTTAAGTGATTTAAAGCAGGAAAAAACCCACTATGATGTTGGTCCTGATCTATCACCTGCTGGATGAGGGTGCAAGGATGACACTGAGCTGCTGGATTATTCCTGAGTTCCCAACAGGGGCTGGCAATGCCCTGAAGAATTGTTCCCCCCATTGCCCAAATGCAGGTGGAGCAGTGGAGTCAGCACTGATCCATCCTCAGTGACCCCAGAACTTGAATATCCCAGTGTGAACAGAAGCTCAGTGTGAATCAACAGAATCTCAGTTCTCACTTCGGACCCATCCCTTTTTCTGTACAAAGTGAATTTCTCCGAGCTGTCAGCCCTTCCTCCCATTTAATCCCTTTCCTGCCTTGTCCATTTGACATTTTTTAAGGACACTGGTCCGGAGAATACCAAGGATTTTTTGGTTACCCCACTTCCCTTTGCCCCCAGGAGCTGCCACACAATTTCTGAGCCTTTCTTTCTCTCTGAGCCTTTTAATAAAGGCCACAAAGGCTTCACCACCTATTGACAGATGCAGGATTTGCTGGGAATGGTGATGAGGCAGAGGCAAACTCTCAGTGTGTTGGAGAAGAGCCACCAGCCTGTCTCCAGTGCTGCTGCTGGAAAGCACAAACTGCTGAGGCTGCTCCAGCTTAGTCATCTCCTAAAGGCAGCTCATTGTTGGGAGGCTTTTCCCCAAAAACTCTGGTTCCATCTCCTGCCTTCCAGATGGTGCCTTGTCTCCCCTGCTCTGGCAGGGATAAATGAGGGGTGCATGAGTGATTTCAGGACATTCTGTTTAATGAATTCCCACAAAAATCAAGAGGCATAACCTTACTTTAAAGATGAGGGCTGCATTCTCACTGGAGCCAACAACAAGCTCCTAAAAATCCTGCTAAATATCCTAAAGAATATTCCTGATCCAAAGTCCTTCCCAGCAGGGAAGGATGCAGGGAAGATGTCTCTTCCCAAATTAACTCTCAAATTTACACCTTGCTGGTGGCAGGCCCACCCCAGAGGTGCCTGCACAGCAGTGCCTCCAGCACCATCTGCTGCAGCTCCAGCAGCCTGCGAGCCACAAAGAGCTGCTGCAACATCTCAGCTGCAAAATCACCTTGTCCTCTAAGCCCATGCTAAGGGAGAGCATCTGCTGCTCCTTGGCTGATGAGATGAGGCTCTGTGTGCCAGCTCCTTCCCCTCAGTGCCCTTCTCAGCATCCCTGCTCGCTGCCCCAGGTGAGATCCCAGCTGCTGCTGCTGCTGCTGCCTGAAGTTGGAGCTTTTATATTTTCCAGATTCGGGAAAATATAAAACCCCATATATTTTCCACATTCTGCCTTAGTGTGTGACTCTGAACTTCATGTAAAGTGTCAGCAAGTTCTCCTCACAGCCCACAGAACAATCCTTGAACAATCCTTGAACAATCCAGAACAATCCTTGAACAATCCTTGAACAATCCAGAACAATCCTTTTCCAGCCCCAGAACCAAGGACACTGCTGCAGCTTCAGCCCCAAAAATTGCAAACAACAGGGAATTGAGGAGAGCAAACTGGGAGGCTGGGACTGCATAACCTGAGCTGGAATTGGACAATGAACCCAATATGGAAATGGACCAAAATCTGTCAAAGTGTGAAAACTCATGGCTTGGGGTCCATCTTGGGTGCAGCCTTGGCCAGGCTCTTGTACAGCCCAAGGGTGTGTCCTTTAAAACCCTTTTAATAAATCCCTGCTTTATTCCTCTAGCTCTGTCCCAGGCTGCCTCCCAGGCCATCCCTGAGCCCTTTTTGCAGCTGTGGGAAGGGGAGGAGCAGCCTGACCTACCCATGGAACACCCAGGTGCCACATTCATCCGCCTTGGTGATGTAGTTCTCAGGCAGCAGCCCCGAGCAGCCGGTGGCAAGGGAAATGCCATAAATCCAGCCCTCACTTGTGCTGCTTTGCTCCACTGGGGACATGAAAATGAAATCCCCTGGCACCAGCTCCAGCTCGTCATCGTTCTGGGGGGTGTAGGGGTAGATCACCTGCAGGGTCTGGGGGAGAAAGAGCACAAAATGTCGTTAATGTCACATCAAACAGGCCCCCAAGCGAGTAATAATTAGCATAGACTAATAAATAATAATCTTTATTTAGAAACCCATTGCTCCTTTTTATATTCTAGCTTGCTACAGGTGGATTTGATTGGTGCTTTAGTTAAAACACCATCACCACTGGCTAATTAAGAAGCCACCCTTTGGTAAACAAATCCCCATAACAAAAACATTCCACATGTGCACAGCACCAGCAATAGTCAGCAAGCAAAGATAAGAATTGTTTCTCATCCTTTTCTCTGATCTTCTCACAGACTTCCCCAGAACCATACCTGGTAAAGTTGTGTTTCTCTCTGTGGCCAGAGAGCTGCTGCAATGCCACCCTTCAGCAGGGGGGTGGTTTTTTGGGGTGATGATTTATTAAAATATGAATATTGATCTAGTACTGATATCCAACTGTGACAGACAAAAACTCTCTAACAGTTTAGAGTTAGAAATTGGATGTTTACTGTGGGATAGCTCCCAAATACACACTGCAATTTACAGGTGATTACAGAGTCCTTTTATCTGTACAAGTATTGAATACCCAAAATGCAAATACATGTTCATAACTTTGGTACATCCCATTCCCAATATGGATATTGATCTAGTACCGATATCCAAAAACTGTCTGACAGTTTGGAGTTACAATGTGAATATCTATTGCGGGATAGTTCCCAAGTACACACCTCAATTTACAGGTGATTACAGAGCCCTTTTATCTATACAGGTATTGAATACCCAAAATACAAATACATGTTCATAACTTTGGTACATCCCATTCTCCACTCTGTATGGTAATTAGTTCAAAAGTCATTAAGCATGGTAATTAGTTCAAAAGCCATTAAGCATGTGTAGTTTGTTCCCTGAAATGGGTCGGTGGTGCCAAAATGAGGAAGTAAATGAAGTCTTCCTCGTTCTGACCTTTCTGCCTTTTAAATGCAAATCTGACAAATGAACCCTTGGTAGAACTCCCATTCCCCATCTTTAATTGGTTTCAGAACAGAGAAGGCCACAATTGTCTGATGTTCCTAAAAGCCATTTATCAGTTTCTGTATTCTTCATTATAAACCCAGCTAACCCAGCATTGTGTTGCCAAGCAATCAATTATCAGTTAACTGCTAACTCTTAACTTCATCAGGGCCTACCCACTGATTTCAATTAACTCCAATAAAACTTATCTCTAACTAAAACCCCAGCTCCTCTAAAATCCCTAAATTCCTCGAAGTTCATGTCTCAGTGAGGGGAGCTCCAGGCGTTACCTCGTGGTTGACGAAGCGAATGTCGCGGGAGAAGATCGCGGCCACCCAGTCGCAGCCCAGCTTGACGTCGATGCTCTGGGCCAGCTTCTCCAGCGTGGGCAGGTGGCTGCTCTGGAAGTGATAGGCCAGGGTGACGTGGAGCTGCTTCTTGTGGGGCTCCACGTGGACATCTGCAATGGGGAGAGGTGTTGGGAAGGATGAGAGTTTGACAGGAAAGTCTCACAGATGTGTGTGCTTGGCAGAAAGATTTTTGAATGGAGAATCTGAAGAAGGAATGGAGATGGAAGCAAGTTTTGATATAGAAGAAAAGAATTGCTGAGCCAGTCTCACTGGCTAACCAAGGAGGCAAAGGGTGTGTTGGTTAGAAGGGGTTTTTATGGCTTAGAGCAAAGGATAAACCCACCCCAAACAAGAAGATGTTTGTACCAAGCACAAAGAGAGCACAGGCAAACAAGGCAGCAAATGTGGCAAGTAGAAAAAAGGTCTCAGAATTTTCCACTGCAAGAAAACTGAAAAACAACTTCTATCTTCAACTGTAATGTACTGACTTTGAGTGATTGGAGAACAGTAACATGAATATGGTAATGATAGCAGTTATGATAGGCTATAGATAATAGTTAGGGTATAGATTGGTGCTACTGTATGAAGATGCTCAGCAAAGAAAAGTATAGAATGCATTGGAACCAAAAGAAAAGGATATAATGCATTGTAACCTAAGCTCAGGGTCTCCAGGCCTGCCTGCAGCTGGAGCTGACAGCTGTGGGCACAGCTCTGTCACCCACAGCCCTGGACTGCTGTAACCTCTTGGATGGAATAAACTGCATTTTGGATACAATAAACTGCATTTTGGATACATTAAACTGCATTTTGGATACAATAAACTGCATTTTGGATGCAATAAACTGCATTTTGGATACAATAAACTGCATTTTGGATACAATAAACTGCATTTTGGATGCAATAAACTGCATTTTGGAGAGCCACCTGGAGTCCCACACAGAGGAGGGCTGAAAACCCCTTTGTGCCAGGTGAGTGACTGTGGCCTCTAACAGAGCTGGACGTGCTCAAGTGGAACAAACTGGAGCTGAGCTGGGAATCTGGGAGTGTGAGGTTGCTGCTGTTGTACGAGGGACAGCTGAATAAAGCAACACAGACTCCAAGGTCTTCTAGAAGGCAACAGCAAAGTTGATTACATTCATTAATTACAAGACATCACATTCTTTTATAGACTGCTCTGAGAAAGGTGGGCATGGTGGGTCCTCAATCAACACCCTCACCTCACTGGCTAATTAGGAACAACACCCTTCTTGCAAACATCTTATGAGTAAACAGCAAGCTCAAAACATCAGCTGAACAGATTAAAGATTATTTTAATTCTTTCTGTGAGCTTTCTCAAAGAAAAATGCCTGGGAAAGTTTATCTGACTTTCTCTCTGAAAATTCATCTTTCTCTCTGAAAGTGTATCTGACTTTCTCTCTGAAAATTTATCTTTCTCTCTGAAAGTGTATCTGACTTTCTCTCTGACCAGGCTGCCAGCATCCATAGGAGGCCTCTAATACTGAAAATGATCAGACATTTGTGGTCTGATTCAGCCAGGGTGCCAGGCAAGGCATCCCTGCAAACTGCCAAACAACAGGGGCTGTGACAATCCCTATTGCAGCTCTGGATATGCAGGATCTCCTGCCAAAAAATAAAAAAAAAGACAGGATCCTTCCGAAATACGCAGGTTAAAAAGCATGATTTTCACTCTCCCTCCATTGTTCTCTCTGTTGCACTAAATTACAAATCCATGGAATTTGCAGGAATTTGTGCAAGTTGATGAAATCTTTTCATCAATGGACATTAGTTGGATTATCAGTTTAGCCACTGAGGGTGAGGTATTCCCAAATTGTGGAAATATAATAATGATTCAAAATGATCCAAATGCAGAAAAAAAAGAATCTGCATCAGGAGATCATTCCAGGTGAAAATATGTGAAATATTTGGGCTCTTCCAGTGGATGTGGAAATCACAGGATACATTGTTTGCATGTCATTTATTCATGCTTATCCAACCAAAAATTGCAATTAGATTTGACTGATTATTCAGTCACAATTGCAGCTATTCAGAGACTTGGCACCAAGTGCCAGCCAGGGTAGCTTTGCAAGCTCATCCATCTTTTCTGTTGTTGTTGGTTTTCATCAGCAATAAAAAATATGTTTAAAAAAAAAAAAAAACCCAGAGACTTTAATGTGGTAACCTGACCAAGCTGTGGCTGCAATGCACCAATTGCCTTCCCCTAAAAAACCCCAATTTGGCCTGAATTGGAGCAGCCTCAGGGGCAGAAGATTGTTGGAAGCCACCAATGCTTCTTTATTCTGGGTCAGTGGGGTTTTTTTGGATAAAAATTGCATTTTTGGTTGTGCTGGAGGGAAACACTGATCCCACTCTCACGTGGCTGCAGTGTCCTTGCACCCACCCAATGTCTGCCTTCCAAAATCACCTTTCTAAAGATAAATTTCCCTCCCTCTTCTAAAGGGAAGGGACGTTCCAGGTCAGGTGAAAGAGGTTCTGGACCCTTCTGTCTCCCTGCTCTGGAGCAGGGACAGACTCACAGCATCCCTGCAAGGCTGTGGGTGCCTGCCCAGCATGGGAACAGCCCAGGAATGCAGAACTTGCTGCATTTTGATGCATTTGAGCTCCAGGATAAGCCTGGGATTAAATGGGGAAGGACTAAACCAGTTGTGCATTTAAACTCCAGGACAAACCTGGGATTAAATGGGGAAGGACTAAACCAGGCCAAGCAGTGGTGGGAGGATTATCCAGGGAGGTGTCCCAGTGCTCCCAGAGTTTTGTGAGTTCCCAGTTTGGAGGTGACTGGAGGACACTCAATGGGGTTGTTCAGCAGTGGAGAGGATGAGGTTCTGTTTATTCCCCCTCCAGAAGCAGGAGAGGATCATGGAGCACCTGTGAGCTCTGAGGTTGGAAAGGGCAACCAACCAACCAACCAGCCAGCCAACCAGCCAACCAACCAACCAATCAACCAACCGACCAACCAATCAACCAACCAGCCAACCAACTAACCAACCAACCAATCAACCAACCAGCCAACCAACTAACCAACCAACCAACCAATCAACCAGCCAACCAACCAGCCAACCAACCAACCAACCAACCAACCAACTAACCAACCAACTAACCAACCAACCAACCAACCAACCAACCAACTAACCAACCAACTAACCAACCAACCAACCAACCAATCAACCAACCAACCAACTAACCAACTAACCAACCAACCAGCCAACCAACCAGCCAACCAACCAACCAACTAACCAACCAATCAACCAGCCAACCAACCAGCCAACCAACCAACCAACTAACCAACCAATCAACCAATCAACCAGCCAACCAACCAGCCAACCAACCAATCAACCAGCCAACCAACCAACCAACCAACCAACCAACCAACCAACCAATCAACCAACCAACCAACCAATCAACCAACCAACCAACTAACCAACCAATCAACCAACCAACCAACCAACCAATCAACCAACCAACCAACCAACTAACCAACCAACCAACCAACCAACCAACCAACCAATCAACCAACCAACCAACCAACCAACCAACCAACCAACCAACCCACCAACAACCAATCAACCAACCAACCAACCAACTAACCAATCAACCAACCAGCCATCAATCAACCAACTAACCAACCAACCAACCAGCTTGGGGTCTTCCCCCAGAGCCCTCCTCACACCTCAGAAATGCAGTGAAAAAACAAACCCAGCCTTGAAATGGCCGAGGAAAGTTCTGTGGTGGTGGCTGGAGGCGGTGAGAGGGGCAGGAAACAGCTCAGAGCAGCTCTGTGAAAGGGTGAAGAACCACCAAACGTCAGCTTCCCCTCCAGAAACAGCCCTGCAAACTCAGGGTGAGACACGTCCCAGCTGAAAAGGCAAAGCACCCGCTGGGGTGTTGGAATTTTCACTTAAAAATCGGGGATTTGCTTTTGAGCTTTGCTTTTTGGTGGCATCAGAGCTTTGGGGTTCTGAAAAAGCCCAAACTGTGAGCTTTGGAAGCTGCTTTGCTTCTTCATGACACCAAAGGTTTGGTTTTTCTGACAATGCCCTCATGGCTTCAAAGTTTTGGTTTTTCTGACAATGCCCAAACTGGACTCTGATGGCATCAAATTTTTAGTTTTCTATCAGTGCTCAAGCTGGGCTTTTTTGGCACCCAAAATTTGGTTTTTCTGACAATGCCCAGGGTGAGCTCCTTCACAACACCAAAGGTTTGGTTTTTCTGACAATGCCTTCATGGCTTCAAAGTTTTGGTTTTTCTGCCAATGCCCAAACTGGACTCTGATGGCATCAAATTTTTAGTTTTCTATCAATGCCCAAGCTGAGCTCTTTTTGGCATCCAAACTTTGGTTTTTTGACAGTGTCTAAACTGGGCTCTTTCATGGCTTTAAAGTTTTGGTTTTCTGACAGTGCCCAGGCTGGGCTCCTTCACGACACCAAAGGTTTGGTTTTTCTGGCAATGTCTTCATGGCTTCAAAGTTTTGGCTTTTCTGACAATGCCCAAGCTGAGCTCTTTTGGCATCCAAACTTTGTTTTTCTGACAATGCCCAGGCTGGGCTCTCACGGCATCTAAACTTTATTTTTCCTGACAATTCCCAAACTGGGCTCTCATGGCATCAAATTCTGGTTTCCTATCAATGCCCAAACTGGGCTCCTTCATGACACCAAACTTTGTTTTTTTTTCTGACAATGCCCAGGCTGTGGTCTCATGGCATCCAAACTTTATTTTTCCTGACAGTGCCCACCCTGGCAGGTGCCAGAGCAGTCGCTCACCTGCTTTGGAAGCTGCCTCTGCAGCGAAGTCTGCAGCAAACTTCTTGAGCACCTCAGCACTCTCCTCCTTGACGAAGAGCCCGATGAAGTTGGAGGATGTGTAGAGCTCCAGGGGCAGGGGCGCAGGGAATTTGCATTTCCAGCGCATCACCGTGGCCTGCAGGGCTTCTGTGAGAGCATCCACCTTGCTGTCCTCACACTGCCAAGCAAGCAGGACAGGCGAGGCTCAGGAAAGGAGAGGATGTGGGTGGGTGTCACTGGCCTACCTTTCCCCTCATGCAGTGAGAAAAAGAACAGGGCATGGAAAACAAACAAATAAACAAACAAAAATCTCTGTTTAGAAATCCTGGGCCCCTCCCTTTTCCTCAAAGCAGGATCAGCTGTCCCCAAGTAACCTCCCCAAGCTCCCCCCACCCATTCTCACGCTGAGGATCACTGGAGAGGATGAGAATTCAGTCTTCTGCTGCTGCTCTTCTTCCCTGAAAACAACAGCTTAAAAAAACCAATTCCCTCCTCCAGCAGCCCTAAGGCATCAACAAACCCCCCCCAGCACCGCCCTAAGCCGGGATGAAATCTCCAGGCTGAGCCTGGCAAGGAACGGCTAAAGGAGAGAGGGGACAGGAGCTGTGCTTTACCATGAAGAACTGGCAGAGGGTGATGTGGGGGAAGATGTTGTGAGCTTTGTTCTTGCCACAGATCTGCTTGGACTGCTGCCAGAACTCGGAGAGCTTCTGCGCCAGGGGCCCGGTGGGGCGCAGGTAGAGCACGTACTCGCGGGGCAGGGAGTCGTCCAGGAACGGGTCACCCACGTGGGAGAAGAGCCTGGCAGGCAGAAAGAGCTCCTAAATCAATGGGCAACTATTGGAACCCAGGGAATCCCTCTGGCTGCCATGGAGGGCTCGAGACCCTGCCCAGGGGGATCAGAGACCCTGGCACAGAGCCCCAGACCCCTGTGCCTTTGATTGAGCCCTTGGAAAAAACAATTACCAACAATATGATTATATTGTATTATATTATATTATATTATATTATATTATATTATATTATATTATATTATATTATATCATATCATATCATATCATATCATATCATATCATATTATATTATATTATATCATGTCATGTCATGTCATGTCATGTCATGTCATATTATATTATATATTAATATATTTATAATAATATATACAATATATATAATATAATAATATAATAATATATAATATATAATATATAATATATAATACATTATTATATTATTATATTATAATATTATTATAATATTATTATAATATTATTATATTATATTATATTATATTATATTATATTATATTATATTATATTATATTATATTTACCAATATTATTATATGAATAATTACCAATCAAGAGATTTTAAGTAGAATAATAGTTTGTCACGGGGTGAAAAATAGATTTTTTGGGTTTTTTTTTCAGGGTTACAAGATGGAGGAATTTGGGTGTGCCTTGTCCTTTTTCCTTCTTCTCCTCAGCCTCCATCTTCTGCTGTGATGGTGGCACTTTGGGATTGGTTTAGAGTAGAAGCTCAGTGTCCAACATAGGTGATGGGTATTGGGAAGTTATGGTAAATATTTTACATGTAGTTTTTAGTATAAAAGATAACACCAGTTTGCCTTAACCCAACCTGCCAGGCAGACCTTGATGGGCCAAAGAATTTTATAGATAAGAAACAATGAACAACCTTGAGAATGAGAACAGAAGAATCCTGACTCCCCCTTCGAGTGCCAGGCTGGGCAAAAGGAGCTTGTAGATATCTCAGAGTCACTCTGAGCAGCAGAGATCCTGAGATAATCACAGATTTTCTTCCCCCAACAAAACCAGCTCCCCCTGTGCTGCCATTCATTGTCCCCCCATGGGAAAATGTGGCTCTGGCGGGTCAGGCAGAGCTGCTCTGCCTCCCTTGCAGCCCATTAGCACTGCTCAGTAAGACACAAAATTGGGTTTTACTTTCAGGCTGATGCTCTGCAGATCTAAGCCAGGTCAGTGCTTCTGCCTTTTGTGCCTGTCAGGGTGCAAAGCCCAGGGAGGAGAGCGCCAGGAATCGCCCCACGTCTCTGAGCAGGCAGCCCTCAGCTGCAGAGGGGGGGTTCCTTCTCTCACCTATTCCCTTCCCACCTGCTTGGGAATTTATTCCCCCCAGTGCCTCCTGTTCAGTGCAGCCAAAGGGATTTAACAGAGCCCGCTCTCCCTGCAGGGCCTTGCCTAATGATGGTCCCTCTAATAAAGCTCTCATTCCCAGATATTCAAGGGCTTTGGCCAAAACCCTGGGGACTAAAATGTGACAGGCAATTACAGAGGCTGCCTCGACCCTCTGCTGACTCAGTTACCTCTGCTTAGTCATTAAAATAAAAAAAAAAGAGCATTATTATAACACCTTTGCTGCAGATCACAAACCCTCTCAGCCCAGGCTCATTTCCAACACTTAAACAGCGCCTCACTAACCCATAACAAGGGTGTTCTTATTTGCAGGTGCTTTTCACACAACACCCCTGTTTAAACATTCCACATGAAACCCTAAATTCACCATTTCTGCTACTTTTTAACATTTATTACTTCATACCAACCAGTCGCATGCTGCTTGGACACTCCTTCCTCCTGTCGACGCCAGCGCTTTTTGTCTGCAGAGAGAGCAAAATAAAAAGAGAATTTCAGTGCTGCTGGGTCCACTGCTGTGTGTTTGGACACTTTTGGGATGCCCTTTTTGCCCTTTCCAATTCTCCAACCCTTGGGGCATTTTGTTTTTTTTTTTGGATGTGCCACCTGTCAAATCCCCATAAACTGAAGGGCAAAGTCATGCAACCAGCACAAAATATGAATTATGGACCTCTGGGTTTTCCTACTTCCCCCCTTTTTCTTCCATGCACAGAAGCATGGAGGAACTGGGGTTTCTTTTAAGGCACTATGTTTTATTTATCTAAATATAAATCTATATATAAATCTAAATATAAATCTATAATAAATCTATCTGCATTGTAATAATATGCCCTTCTGGGGACATGCAGTGCCTTTCCCACAAGCTCACTCACAAAAATGAAGCTCAGACAGAATTCTGTGCAGAACAATGCAGCCCTTCACTGACAACTGTACATCAAATTAGAAATGTTCCTAAAAATTAGCAATTAGTAGAGAAACACCAGCATTTAATGGTCTCTTTGCTGGCAATTTCAGCATGAAACCCTAAAAATTTGGGTCTGAAAGTGCAGGAGTTGCAGTGAGGAGAAGAAAAACTCAACAGCCACGAGAGGGCACAAACAGAGATTTTTCAGTTTAGAGAAGTTCCCTGCAGTCCAAAGAGCTCTTGTGCTTCTTTCCCTTCAGGATACCTCTAAATCCCTTTTCACTCCAGCTGGGAACACCCAGCTCTCCTGTTCAGTGAGTTTTCTGAGCAGATCAGCACAAACAACAGATTTAAACATGGAATTGTGTTTTCCAAGTGCTCGGCACCAGCAGGGAAAGGAGCTGTGGCTCAGCTCAGCTCTGTGGCACCAGGGACAGCCAAAGGGAGGGATCCACCCAGAACCCAAATGGAGCAGGAATTACAAGTGGAGAAGGCAGAAAATGACAGAAATTTTAGGGTGATGAGGCAGAGACAGAAGGATCCACCCAGAACCCAAACGGAGCAAGAATGACAAGTGGAGAAGGCAGAAAATGACAGAAATTTTAGGGTGATGAGGCACAGACAGAAGGATCCACCCAGAACCCAAATGGAGCAAGAATGATGAGTGGAGAAGGCAGAAAATGACAGAAATTTTAGGGTGAAGAGGCAGAGACAGAAGGACCCACCCAGAACCCAAATGGAGCAGGAATGACGAGTGCAGAAGGCAGAAAATGACAGAAATTTTAGGGTGAAGAGGCAGAGACAGAAGGATCCACCCAGAACCCAAACGGAGCAGGAATGACGAGTGCAGAAGGCAGAAAATGACAGAAATTTTAGGGTGATGAGGCAGAGACAGGAGCTCAGATGGGGAAGGTGCAGAATTCCCCATGGAAAGGTGATTTCAGAGGGAGCAGATCCAGGCTCCAGCCCCTGGTTCTGGGGTCAGGGACCCTCCAGGGCTTGTGGCTGTGCCTGTACCACCCCTTCTGCTGCCTTTCCAAAGGCTCTGACAGCCCCGAGGACATTCCTGAACGTCACCCCCAGCCCCCAGGCATGTGCTGTTGACTCAGCTGTGCTCAGCCCTCCCCACCCCTTGAACACACACATCTTGGTTCCTTTGGAGGGTAAGAGGAAGGCAGAAAGATAACGCTGATAATGCTGATAATGATACAAAAACAAAAAACAAACAAAAAAAATAAATAAAGGGCTGTGTTGCAAATGTGTGATGATGAAAATACTTCCTCCCCAAGCTGCCCTGATCTGTCAGCAGTGCCTGGAGATCAGCAGGGCTGGGCCCAGCACCTGCCCTCTGGGAGGATGGATTTGGTGGGTTTGGGGTGGTGAACGCTGTGGGCTGGGGCTCCTGCCTTGCTGCCCTTGCTCTGCTCTGGAAAATGTTCTATGCAAAGCAGAAACTGCTTTGCTTTGGAAAGCAGCTCAGGCAAAGGAGCTGAAAGAGAAGGGGGAAACTCTCTGAAAGATTGGGGGGAACTCTCTAAAAGATAAGGGGAACTCTAAAAGAGAGGGGGGGAAATCTCTAAAAGATAAGGGGAAACTCTCTGAAAGATAAGGGGCATCTCTAAAAGATAAGGGAGGCCTCTCTGAAAGATAGGGGGAACTCTCTAAAGGATAAGGGGCACTTCTCTAACAGCTAAGGGGGAACCCTCTAAAGGATAAGGGGGAGCTCTTTAAAAGACAGGGGAAACACTCTAAAAGATAAGGGGGAAGTCTCTAAAGGACAAGGGGAGACTTCTCTAAAAGAGAGGGGGGGACCTGTTTAAAAGATAAGGGAAAACTCTAAAAGATAGAGGGGATCTCTAAAAGATAGGGGGTAACTCTCTAAAAGATAAGGGGAGCTGTCTAAAAGATAAGGGGGAGCTCTCTAAAAGACAGGGGAGAACTCTCAAAAAGATAAGGGGGAGCTCTCTGAAATATAAGGAGGATATCTCTGAAAGATAAGGGGGACTTGAGGGGGATTTCTCTAACAGATAAGGGCACCTCTCTGGGAGCAGTGCCTGGGGATTCTCCCTGCCCTGCTTCCACCATTTGTTGTGCTGCCCTTGCTCAGTTCCCTCCCCTCCTGTCTGGGTTGTTTCTGCTCTCTGAACCAGAGCTGTGACCCTGCAGAGCTGAGCCCTGAAGGGTGGCAGTGAGCCCTGCCCTCCCAGAGCAGCTGTGGCCCTGCAACGAGCACTTTATGGCATTTCCTGTGCCCAGATCCCAGCCCAGGGCTCTGCAGGCGCTGGGCACAGCCCAGGCTCCACCACCACCCTCAGGGACCCTTTTCCTTCATGGCCTGGTGATTCCCTGGAACGAACCACCCAGGGGAGCTCTGCTGGGATTAACCGGGGTTAAAACAAAGGGAGGCACAGAACACGAGGCTGGAGCCACTCCTTTGTCCACCTGTGGTTTCCAGAGCTGCCTCCATCATCCACAGGGACAACCAACTCCCTTTCCAATTTAATTTTCAGTGTGAGAAGGAAATGCTGCATAAAGCAAACGAAAGCAGAGGGTATTTTTATCCCAGGACCTGCAACTGAGAGATTTCTTTGAGTTTTTTGGGGTTTTTTTGGGTTTTTTTTGTTTTTTTTTTTTTTTTTTTCCCTTGTATTGTATTTTTATTTTCATATTCCCTCATATTGTATTTTTATTTCCCTTGTATTTTTTAATTTAGCGCAAGGAATGATGCTGATGATTGATAAAACTCTCTGAAAATCCCACCCTGGAGAGGACCCATCCTCCAGCTCCCAGGCCAAAATCAGCTTTTTAGGAGCTGAGTTCCTCAAAACCGGTCCCAGCCATGCAAAAGTGGCCTGGTTTTCACAACTGCTGAGTGCAGTGGGAGCTGGAAAACACATCCTGCTCCTGAGAAAATCAGGTCACTTAATTAGGTGACAAATTATGGCTTAGGTGCTCACATTTCCTCATGCTGGGCAGCAAGTGTTGGCTGGAGCATTGTAAAAAAAAAAAATAAAATAATTGTGACTCAGATGAACCAGAAAAGAGGAAAAAGCGAGAAAATGACTTATTTTTCAGAATTTACTGGATGGTATCACTGAGTAACCGTTTCTGGTGATGCAAAATGGGTTCAGGAGCTTCGTGCAGCATCGCTGGTCCCCTGGGGCACCCAGTTCCTCCAGCTCTTGGCTTCTGAGATGAAGTGCAGGGAAACCACTTAAAAGCACCCAGCAACATGGAATAATCATTTTGAACAGAGCTTCTGTGCAGTTGCAGCTCTGGAGAATTTGGGGAAGGGGAAAGGAATCCCTCCTCTGGGGAAGGGGAAAGAAAATCCTAACAGCAACGACTTCCAAAGGCACAGCAGGTATTTTATTCAGCAGGGAGGATTAAATGGGTTTGATTCTTCCACTTGAGGTGGAAGATACCTCAAGTGTGTTGAAGAATTAAATGGCTTTGATTCTTTAACCTCAAAGCCCTCCCCATGACACTCCTCAGTGTCGAGGCCCAAGGAAAACCTTTCCCCCCTCAATCCTTGGTTAAACAGGGGGAAATATGGCCAGGAAACATCCCAGCTAAACAGCTGACCCCAAAATATTCCAGGAGAATTAGGATGTGGTGCAGGGAAATCACTTAAAAGCACCCAGCAACATGGAATAACCATTTACAGACAGCAAGGCAGAGGTTCTGTGCAACTGCAGATCTGGAAAATCTGGGGAAGGGGAAAGAAAATCACCAGGAAGAATTAAATGGGTTTGACTCTTCCACCTCAAAGCCCTCCCACAATACTCCTCAGTGTCAAGGCCCAAGGAAAACCTTTCCCCCCTCAATCCTTGGTTAAACAGGGTGAAATATGGCCAGGAAACATCCCAGCTAAACAGCTGACCCCAAAATATTCCAGCAGAAGTGAGATGAAGTGCAGGGAAATCACTTAAAAGCACCCAGCAACATGGAATAACCATTTACAGACAGCAACTGCAGATCTGTGCAACTGCAGATCTGGAAAATCTGGGGAAGGGGAAAGAAAATCACCAGGAATAAACCCATATTTAAATGGGTTTGAGTCTTCCACCTCAAAGCCCTCCCCATGACACTCCTCAGTGTCAAGGCCCAAGGAAAACCTTTCCCCACTCAATCCTTGGATAAACAGGGTGAAATATGGCCAGGAAACATCCCAGCTAAACAGCTGACCCCAAAATATTCCAGCAGAAGTGAGATGAAGTGCAGGGAAATCACTTAAAAGCACCCAGCAACATGGAATAACCATTTACAGACAGCAACTGCAGATCTGTGCAACTGCAGATCTGGAAAATCTGGGGAAGGGGAAAGAAAATCACCAGGAAGAATTAAATGGGTTTGATTCTTCCACCTCAAAGCCCTCCCATGACACTCCTGAGTCTCAAGGGCCAAGGAAAACCTTTCCCCACTCAATCCTTGGTTAAACAGGGGGAAATATGGCCAGGAAACATCCCAGCTAAAGAGCTGACCCCAAAATATTCCAGCAGAAGTGAGATGAAGTGCAGGGAAATCACTTAAAAGCACCCAGCAACATGGAATAATAAT